GGAACAAAAATACAAAAAAAATGTTTTAGATTTTTAAATTTGTAAAAAAATTCAAGAAACGGTACTGATTAATTTTTGAAAAAAATATCAAATTTTTCGTTTGAATTATTTTTTTTCGAATTTAACTACTTAATGCAAATTTGTAAAAGAAAGCTGAAAAAATTGTTTTCCTCATTTTGACAAAGATTAAACGATGTTCAAAAAAATATGCACAATTCCTTTAATTATTTTGTAAAACTTTGAACAACTGGTACGAGAAAACGGCGTTATGGATTGATTTAAAAGTTTACAGGGCTATGGGGGGTACATTAAGCTGTAAAAACATCTAAAAACATTAGTCTTTCCATCAATATTAGTGAATACATGGTAAATTTACTAAAACAATGCAAAAAGATGTTGAGTTGGAAAAAAAATATTTTTTAAAAAATGATAAAAGGACCTTGTGAGACATTTATTCCCGTTTTTGACATTACACTTATATTCTCTGTGTGGTCATTACTTGCTGAGATATCGATTCCCCATGTCCGTGGACCAAAAACAAAAACATAAAAATTTAGCTTTTTTTTCTCGTGCTATTATTTAGAATTGCGTAAAAAAAATTTGTCAAAAAATCTCAAAACTAGAAATTTAAAGTAAGATAAATTACAGCCTTTCAAAATCACTAAAAAATTAAAAAAAAAATTTTTGTTAACTTTTTGGAGTATAGTAATAATTTTTGGGGCTCAATCCGGCTCTGCTAACAAACACAAGTAGCATATTGGAGTAACGGTTAGTCTTCAAATGAAAGTAATCTAGTGATCAGTATGAATAAACCGGTAATTCATGCAATTATCTCTTCCGTCCAAAGATAATTTTAATAAATTTGTAATTGACGCTTAATTTATCACTCTCGACTTTTATTTTGCACCAATAAAACACGAATTATAACTTCACTTGGCAATTACAACGAAACTTGTAATAAATTGGTAAAACCGCAACTTTAATATCAATTAACATTAAAGTTGGTGTTGTAACCATAAATTGTAACCCCTGGGAAAGTTTATCAAAATTCCTTAACGATAGTAATTCTAAATAGTAACGGTACCTAAAATGACTACATTCGACAGTTGCAATACAACACACTTTGACCCAGGGCCGTACCCAAGGGGGGTTATATAGTGTTATAAGTGTTAAAAATTTAGTTTTTTTGTTATTTTAATGAGTTAATTTTAAATTTTTGTGAATTAATTTTTCATGTGTTAATTATACAGTATTTAATTTTTATTGTTAGGTACAAATTTAAATAGTTAATAGAATATTTAATTTTAAGATAAAAGTGTTTTGAAAAATGCTATGAAAAGGAGCTACACCCCCTAAAAAAGGTACGTTTTTTAAAGGGTTTTTCCTAATATTTCAGAATAGATAAAATTACAAAATTTGGTACCTTTATGTACACCCAAACAAATGCCAAATAACAAAATTTTTAATCAGGGGCGTCCTAAACGGTAAAACAAATTTAATTTTTAATTTTTATGCTGTTTATGGTCTGTAACATAAATTTTTGAACCGATTTTTACTAAAAATCCGTAAATTGTATCGGAAAAACACAAAAGACTTTTTTTTTATGAAAAACTATGAAATTTTGTTGCTGAAAGTGGCAAGAAACCACAGGCAAAATAGAGTAAATTTTTACCCTAATCCAATCTAGTTTAGGAAGCACCTAATTAAAAATTTCAACATTTTATTTTTGTACTTGTTTAGGAGTATAAAAGTTATCATCTGTAGCAAATTTTGATTTTTTTTTCTAAAATGATTTCGGAAATATTGAAAAAAAAACTACTAAAAGACGCACCCCTTGTGTAGCATTTTTCGATATATGTTCATAGAAAATTTTTGTTTTAAAAATGAATATTCATCTCCTGTTTAAATTTGTAACAATAAAAAGTATTAAAAATTTATTTTATTTTTTGTTACTTTTGTGAGTTAATTTGTATTTTTTTATGTTTAATTAGGATCTCTTATTTCAATTTAAAATAAAAACGTGTACTTAGAGATTTTTGCTTTTTAATTCGTCTTCTTTAATTTCATTTTCATGGACCTACAAGAAACCCCCCCCGAAATAAAATCCTGGTTACGGCCCTGCTTTGACCCCAAGTTCAAAATGCAATCACTCACCCAAAATTTTTGTAACGCGAACTAAGACTTCACCCAATTTCATCCGAGTTTCTTGAGCTTTTTCCCTAAAATCGGAATACTCTTCACATAAAGTCTCAAGAACGGTATCTGTAAAAGTATCAGCCAAGGCCGCTAGGCCTTGAACCGCATTCAAATAAATGAACGAATCCTCATCTTTTAAATGTAACTGTAACAAAATAAATGAGAGAAATTTAGTTTCCGGCCACTCCTACCTGGAATAAATTAAGCAAATATTGTTTCCTCTCAAGTGCTTGTTTGTCCTTTTTTTCAAGCAACTTTGACAAAGTCAGTAAACCATGCCCTCTAACAGGGAGTAAAGGGTCATAAACGTCCTCGAGGGCTTCCTCAAACTCAGTTTTTTCGTCCGTGGTTTCACAAGTTTGAGTTTTTTCTTCGTTTAGTGCTTGTTTGAGTTTGTCACAGAGAGTTTTCAATTCCTGGTTGTTTGATTTAGTTGATAGGGACTGTTCCAAAATTCTATATTTTGCTAGAGCACTTGCTGAAGAATTTGCAATCAAATTATCCAGAATCATCAAAACAAGAAAAACGAGTTGTTCGTCACTCTCTTGAGACAACACGTTGTTAATGTAATTAATAATATCATCAGGTTTGTTCCTGAGAAACAGTTGCACTTCTTTGTTTTCAGCTAATTGAGATAGAATTCTATGGATTGTTAAAAGTCGTTCAAGAACGGCACCCGTTACATGATCTTCGTTACCTAATAATTCTGTACTGTTATGAAGAGTCGGGAAATATTTCCCTTTGTTGGTAACACAATTTAGCAAAAATCCAAATAAGACGATTTTTTGCTCGAGATTGAGAAGCCCCAAAACCGTGTCCATAACATCTGTATAAATAATGACATGTGGAGTATTTCTCACGATTATCTTTTGATCAATCTCAACAACGATATCATTGCGGAACTGTAAAATCCCGTTAATCGTAAACCCGAAAATAAAGTTGTCCAATAATTCGTGCATCTTGGTGCAAGCTTGCAAAAACTTAATTAAAATTTCTCTCAGTTCCTTTCTAGTGGTTTCTAGCGCCGATTTCACAGTTAGGTGATACAAGTGGAATAAGACGTTGATGTAAGTCGTCAACAGGTTGGTTGGTAAACCATCGATGAAACATCCGTAAAGCAAACGCACAGTTTGTTTAATGTCATCCGTTACGTCTTCGTCACGAAATTGGTGTTCTTTGTTGGCGAAATATAATAACGGAGTCGTTATCCTCTTGACAAAAACTGCATTGCACAATTCTTTATCTTCGGAATATAGACATTTCGTGCAAGACACAACCAACCGTTCGAAAATCAATAAATCACGGCTTGAGACAAGAAGATTTAACACTTGGTTGCAAATGTTTGTTTCAAAGTCTGGGAATTTTCGACAGCTCGATATGAGCTTTGTTAACACCTCGAGGATTTTCCATGCTTTTGTTGTGTCGTCTTCGGAGCCGGAAAGCAGGGCTGAAGCGATGTGTTGGACGCCTTTCGGCGACCGAATTATCTTAGTCAAGGTGTTTGAAATTGATTTTTTGAACCACAGGGGGGCATTGGCTTGGAATAAAACCATTGTTTCTCTAATCAGAATTGTGGGATGAATATTGTGACTTATATCGTCTAAAATTCTTCGAAATTCTTCTTGGTCGTGGACTAGTTTCTGATACGTTTCAGGAGTCATTACGAACTTATCTTGAGCGTCAGTTGTTGGTTTTTTTAAAGGGCAGTAAGCGAGTTGATAAAATGCAACTAACATTCCTTGTAGCAAATGTGGTAAAATCAACATTCTCAAATTCGGGTATTTCATGTACTTGTAAAATCCAAGAACGGTGCATTTCAATAAAGTGTAATCAGAATAAATATCGCTTGTACTTGTGTGTGTTGGAATGAAATAAGGGAGTTTTGGTTGAATGTTTGTCAAAATTCCATTATTCATTAGAATTTTTAAACACGTTTTTACGTTTTTTGTTTCTTGGACACTCAAAACGCTGATGTCTGAAGTTGCAAGTTGTTCGTTTACTAACTCCAAAATATAAAAATTTAACATCATGTATTTTATTTTATTAGACTCATTTCCCTCCAACGCAACGTCAAGTGAAATTTTTGACAATATTTCGTCAAAAGAACACATAAGAGTGTTGATTGCTTTTTCGTATCTTTTTTGGAATATATCACCCTCATCGTCTTCACGTGAATCTAAAAAATGTAGTCTTTTCAATTTTGGACTTACAGGGTGCGCCAGAATTCGCGCCCCAGAGAAAAATGCCATATGAGGTAAGATACCAGGAACATGAAAAAAATGTAAAAAAAGAATTATCTACAAAAATTTCGAAGTTATAAGAGTTTAAATTTTGCACTTTGACTAATTACTTCTGTTGGAAAAATAATTTTCCAAGTTTTTTTGCTACAGGTTATTAGAAAATTAAATTGTAACTCTGTTTAATGTTATTTGTGGCTTTTATTGGCAAAATTTTTGTCCTTTACTAAATAATTGTAATGAAAACATATTCAAGATCATGAGTATCATTAAATAGACATAAAAAATGTCAAATGTCAAAAAACATTTTTTCCATGTTCCTGATATTTTACTTGAAATTTTTCTCTGGGACGCGAGTTCTGGCGCACGCCGTATGTGTGATTTTTTAATCGTCCGTAAAGTGAACGAAATAGTCAGTAAAGTAAACTAATAAATAAAAAAAAATGTCTCTTGAATGTATTTTGGGTTGCGTCAGAAAATCGGTTAAGGTCTTTATTATAAATGAGTCACCCTGTATTATTCAAGTATAAGTTAATTTTTACACTCTAACTCTATTGTCGTGATAAAAAATTAACTTCAGTGCTTTGTTATAAAACTATTTCATCATTTCACATCACAAAACGTAACGTTAAGTTAAAGTTACGGTATGTGTAATTGCACCTTTATGTGTTAACACAAGCGGTTTTAATTTTAGGTTATGTTGAATGTTATAAACAAATTTTATTACCTGTGGAAATTCCGTTGAGTTCACATAATAATTTTACTAACTGTGATTTATCCATGATGTAATTGTATTAAGTAATCAAAAGGAAAGAAAACCATAACAAAAAAACACCTTTATTTAGGTAACGTTACAGTACATGTTGACACTTGTAGGCCATGTCTCAAACTAATAATTTGACAATTCTTGACATTTTAAACATTAAGTGATTTCAATTAAAGCCATGCAAAACTGAGAAATGACTTTGCTGATTAAAATTAAATCTCAAGGGTGCAAATATGAAATGTATGGTAATCATTGAAATTTCAAATAATTTACCACTGTATTTATTAAAACAAAGGCATCAAAAAATAAGAGTGAATATTTAATGATTTACATAGTAACCTAAAGATGAACCCTTCCAAAGGGGCGAAAAACTTAAAATGATGTACCACCACGAAGTGCTAACACTAAATGCAGGACAGAACCGCCTTGAACTTTATAGTCTTGAGCAGTCTTCTCATCATTCCTATAATAAAAAATTAGTTGCGTTCTTTATTTTAAAAATTACTCATGTTTTATTGAGTATTAAGCCACCATAGCTAGAAAACTGATTATAAAAATTCCATCGTTCTTACATTTGTTTTCCTGAAAAGATTAATCTTTGTTGTTGAGGTGGAATCCCTTCTTTTTCCTCTACTCGTTCTTTAATTCTTTCAACTTTATCTGTCGGTTCTATATCAATCTCAATTTCCTTACCGGTAAGAGTCTGAAATGAGGACAAAAGAAATACAATTTCCTAACCTATAAATTTTTAAAACTTACTTTAACTTTGATCAACATTCTAATTGATTTTTGAAAAACCGGCAAAAATCTAAAGCAGTAAACAGTTGGTGTCACAATTAGGTTATACAATTTTATAAATAACTGTAATTTTCGTTATTAAGCAGAAATTTTGCAACTGTCACTTTTTTGACGATAATGCAGATTTCTTCTATTACATCACTACGTAAAGCTGCGTTTGCGCAACGTAACGTAACGTAAGATTTAGGGTAAAAAAACAAGTTAAAACATTTATTGTTACATTTATTATCATTAAGTAACAATTACTTGAATCAAGTTTAAATATGTATCTTAAAAATAAATTGGTTACATAAAATTGACCCTGGAAGACAAAAGAGTAAATAAAAAAATACACATTTAACAACAAATCACAACTATTAGCTAAAATACTGTTTCAGTGGACTTTTTGGGAGGTACAATAATTACACTAACTCACCTATTTTACTAAATGTACTATAAAATATACTTTGAATGAGCATTTTCATTTTTGAACATTAGCCTTTAGCATTTCAGTTTTGTCGAATAACTAGACAAAACACGAACGAATTAAATATGGTAAAACAATCACATTTTTTCACTTTCAAATTAAAAACTTCAGTCACACTAAAAATGATTTACCATTTAGACATTTCTAGTGAGAGAGTAAGATATTAAATTTGTTATTTTCGCAAAAGTTTGCACATATTATTAAAGAATGAAACGAGTGGAAAGTTTGAAATTGGTGCTTTAATGTTTTTGATGTTTGTTCCACACAGATAAATATATACTTGCATGCATTGGGGCAAAATCTGGCAACTACAAATCCGGAAATTCCAATTAAATCGGGACCACAATATTGGAAGGGATTTTTGCTTTAATTCGGCAGTTGAAACGAAATTACTTATAATGCCAAAAATTACTTAAATGTGATTTGAATAAATGTCTAAATTGGACAATATAAGTATACAGCTTTATCATAAAATACATATCTATTCTGAACATTCAGATAACACTGTTAAACGGAACGGATTCGATATATTTGGACAAGAGTATTTAACCATCGGCTAAACTGGGTGTGACCCAGCCATATTTGTCATGTGTCTTAACCAGCGACCTAAAGCTCTCCTCTGCCGTCCTTTTACTGAACACTTTTTGCCCTTTGGTTTTCCTCTGGATCCGGCCCTGACCTTTAACGACACTGGCGGCGAATTGCATGATAACGGCTTCGACTGTGTAAGCACTCGCCCATCCCCTTGGTGTCAATAACTCCATGCAAATTGCGCCGCCCTCCATAACAAACCCTTTCTCTATCCTCGGCGAAATCACCCTCATAAAGGGAGGGGCGAAGGGAAAGTTTTCGGGAAAAACTACATGCAAAAGAATGTAGTTTATGCCCAACTCCTTCATGTCGTTGCCTAACTCACTTTCAGCGTCTAATTTGTACACTTTCACGTGCCACTCGAATAAATTATCGTCAACTAACTCGACGGTGAACACTGGGTCCGTTTTGGAGTTTTGGAGACGCTGCAAATCGCGATACTCCTTCATGAGTCTACGGGCGCGAACACTTTTATGGGAGGGTCCGTCTTCCCCCTTTTTCCCCTTGCTGGAGGTGAAGGCTGGACTGGCCTGGGGGGCGGCGGGAGACACCGAATCGCGGCAACCTCTTAAAAGCCGGCGAGCGGGAGAGCCTGATCCTGAGGGATTGGGTTTACTGGGGCCTTCGCCTTCTTTGTTTGAGGATTTGAAGATCTTGCGGAACATTGCGGTGACTTTTTCCTTCGATCGGCTGCTCATTTTGGCCCTAAGGGGGCTTATTGTGACCGGAATCCGCGACTAAGGCTGCAAAACTTCTGTAAGCCCTGAAAGGAACAAAAACTGTTAAAATAATCAGTACGTTTTTAATCCACCTCACAATTGCTACAATTGACATTTTGTGTTTTTGTTTTGTTTCATACAAATAAACGTGTCCAAAATTTTACAAGTTATCAAACATCTTTTTTTTTTCATTTTTTATTACTCTTATTAGAAATTACGTTAAATTAAAAATGCAATTTTTTTAATTTACTAGTCTTTTATAAAGAAAAAATGATCACAGTAATTAAATTTCATTGAGACAAATCTAATGATTGCCAAAGCACTATGTACAGGGTGCTGCATTTTGGATGTCCGAATAGGGAATCTCCGAAACTAAGAGGTTTAGCCAAAAACGAGTGATACATGAGGGGGCTCATTTTTTGAGAAAGTAATATTGGTTAAAACCGCATCCCGCTATCGTCTTTTGTTTTCGACTTACAGACAAAAGTTGTCATTTTGACGAAATCTAAAAAAAATTATATCTTCGTTATTATAGAAGATACGGATTTGAAAGAAAGACATTATAGAGGCACTTTTTTACGAGGAATTTAATAATGTAGTTAACAATTTTTTTCAGTTATTAGTTTAGCCGTAATAAGATGAACTTGTATTTTTTTAAATGAAAATCATAGGCGGCTATAGCAATTTAGAAAAGCTTATTTTTTCTGATCTAAAAAATATATATTTGTAACAAAATATTTTTTTATAACTATACTTAAAAAGTGAAATACATATTTTGTGTGATAACAGTTTGCCATGAAAAAACTATTTCACTCCAAATGTGTAAATAATAATCAATAAGAGTTTTGTGAACTGTAAAATAGATGAAAAAATATATAAGATTATAAAGATTTAAAAAATATGATACGGTAGAAGCATTGAACAAATATCCGAGCGCCTCAGAACAAAATTATTACATATTTTTAAAAAATCCAAAAATAGGAAAAACAAATGTGTCAACAGTCAACACAATTAGAAAAAACTTTTTTTTTTTGATGATCTAATGGAGGTAGGATAACGTTTCACATAGACGGAATTTGGGTATTTGAATAGCCATATCGTCATTTTTGTGTCATTTAAAATATATTTTATTGAAGAATTAAAGCGGCTTTTTTTTACAACACTCTATATATCACTAGAAGTTGCAATGGTATGTTAGCTTGTTTAAAAACAAAGAAATGTTATTAGTCGCCAATAAGTTGAATTACAATTTATTTTGCATCTTTTTCATTACTTAGTACTTAGAAAACTCTTTCATTAGTGACACTGGTTGAATATAATTATAGTTTAAATCCTTTTGGTTGAAGATGCAACATTTTTTTTTGCTAAAAATGTATTATAATAATTTGTTACAAATATAGATTTTTTAGATAAGAAAAAAACAAGCTTTTTAAAAATGACATAGCCATATGATTCCCATTTAAAAAAAATACAAGTTTATTTTATTACGGCTAAACAAACAACTGAAAAAAATTGTTAACTACATTATTAAATTCTACGTAAAAAAGTGCCTGTATAATGTTTTTATTTCAAATCTGTGTCTTCTATAATAAGGAAGATATGAATTTTTTAGATTTCGCTAAAACGTCAATTTTTGTCTATAAAAGACGATAGCGGGATGCGGAATGTATTACTCGATTTTGGCTAAACCTCTTAGTTTCGGAGATTCCCTATTCGGACATCCAAAATGCAGCACCCTGTACAGGGTGTTTCACATAACTTTACGAGGCTTGCGCCTAATATGCGCACCCAAATATACAAAAGTCACAAAACACTAGATACAAAATTACAGTAGTTGTCACATTAATCACTGTTTCATTAATAGTCATAAACTGCAGTTTTTCAGAAACAATTATCATTTGTTCTATTAAGAGACTGCATGAATATGATTCTAGTTTATCTATCTTAATCACTAACTAACTAAAAACGTTGTAATTTTTTAAAGGGTGAGAAGGTAAGAGAAGATAATTCAATTTTTCAAAATTTGTAATCGAGTTCGTATCGGAATATGTATTATTGATTGCATCTTACAGGCGCAGGTCTCGTAAAATTGTGTGAAACACCCTGTATAAGAATTTTTTTAATTAGAATGCGAAACGATGCTCTCCATCGGAATAAAGGATTTAGATATGTTTGAAAATGTAAATTATTTTACAAAGTTACGCCGTGCAAAGGATATTAAGTTAAGTAGAAATGGAAATGTTATAGGTCAGGTCAGAATCTGGAGTTCGTCAACGAGAGATTCAAGTCCAAGAGTCAGAATTTTAAATTTAATAAAAGTTATAAAAACGAAATTACGTTGCCATTCCTAGAATACAAAATTTATTTAAAACATAATTTAAGTAAAATAAAATACAAATAATCAAAAGCAAAAGAATTCTTAGATTCCGTTTACCGAAACTCACCCATTTTTTAACAATAACTATTACAATTATCACTTAAAAAAATATTGTAACAAAAGATTGAAAACTTTGAGAAATTCAGACGTGTATACGTAGATATTGCAGTTTTTAAACTGATAGTAAAAATAAAACAAAGCATTTAGTTTTATGACAAAAATTCATTAGTAAACGGGGTCTAATAACAATAATATACATACCAGGTAAATAAAAAGTATGGAATCAACAGGTTTTTTTTATTTATTTGCCTCCAAAAAATAGTAATTAATATAAATTAAAGTAATATAGGGTTATTCATAAATATGAAGCAATATTTGAACCTCAAAAATGACCTATAAAAGCGGTCCATTTTAGAGGTATTAAAGGTTATGCGTTTTTTATTCAAAATTGATTACTCTATTGTTTTGACTAAAAAAATAAATGTTAAGAAAAAAACAAAAAAACACAGAAAATATGACCTGCAATTGCTGGAACCGGAAATTGAGTAGATGTATCCGGTTTTCGTAATTCTATAATATTTAGTCAAATGGTTCCAAAGTTATTACAAAAAATACAAATTTCCATACCCACATTCCGAGGGCTGTAAAATTCTTATCAGTAGAGGTAGGACACAAGTTATTATTTAAATTAACATCATTTTATAGCTCATTTTTGAGGCTTAAATATTGCTTCATATTTATGAATAACCCGTATTTTGTTTTATTTTTGAGTTATGCGTTTTTTTTTGTAAAAATTGCAATTTATGTATTTTTTTTTTAATTAAATATAAAGTAGATAGTTGTAATCCTTAGATCATAACCTTCATGAGAAAAATGGTTGACATTTCAAAAAAAAATTTTTTGTTGAACTCAAAAACAAAAGAAAATTTCGAAAAATTATTCTTGATAAAACACCACATTTTTATAGTACTTTATCATTCATCAATTAGTTTAAGCAAAAAACTTTTTATTCACCTGGTATGTCATATCCTATATTCAGTTCGAAACAAAAACTATTTTTATACTTCGATGTCTCGTGACGCTTTCCAGTTTTAGTGAATCTTGTACACAAATTTGTCATGAAAGGCAAACTGGAATTTGATAAAACAATCATGATCTAAACTTTGTGAATTAATCACGTCATAATCAATAACAGTGTTATGAGTTTGGCATAGAAATGTATTTCTGCTTACAAATCAGTTATGAGTTCGCTTTCAACAAGCTTTTGCGAAAATATCTAACGTATTCTCGTTTATTTCTTATTTTTATAATACATGAAACACGTAAACAAATTTTCCGTCTAATTTAATGTAGCATATTTTCCGGAGAAAATAAATTGTTTTACTCGTTTACTGAATATGTACGAGTACTTATTTGGATTATCTTCCATAGAGATGAAATACTTGAGCTTATTAGAAATAAAAAATACAGAAATGTAAATATTCTCGTTTAATTTAGTAACGGCGGTGGTTCAAAATTTAATTTTCTTCTAGGAATGACTTCGTAACATAATTAAGTGGAAAAATATTTGATATTTTAAATTCAACAGAATTTCGAGGTTAGTATTTTTTAATAACGAATGTAACCCCTGATTATTTTCTTCCTTGAAAACATGTTATTTATGGTGTTCTACTTTTCTTCCAACTAAATCCGAATAGATTAGCCCCCAAATAGAGTACCTACGTGTGGAAATCAGTCTAAAATATCCGCCAAGGTGAAGGATTTTAGCAAATTAACATGAATTTGCATAAGTAGATCCTAATCACAGCGTTTAGCACAACACCACAGTCAAAAACAATTTTTTTTTTCAATTTTAGCAACAATCATGAATGATCTGCACCTGCAATCATTGTTTGCTAATTTTAGTTTAACATTTGATTGATGACATACCTAGACAGGTAAAATAAGTACATAAATTTTGCAAGTGCACTTGCTGAATTTAGAAAAGTGACCTTTCTTAAAACTACGTGATAATATGCAAGGCGTGAAAACGATGAATATAAAACAATAATAAATGGAAAATTACATTTTGTAAAGACTAAAATTACTGTTGACAGCGTATAAGAAATTGTTTTTGTTGTGCAAATGTCCATTATGTGTCATGATGATGTGTGTCATCACAACATCCCTTTGTGATAAAACGGGTTCCGCCCATTCGACATTACAAAGTCTTATAGATAACTCACTATCTTAACATTGTTGAAAAAAATCTTCAAAGAACAACTAATTTATTCACATTATCTCTAATTTATTTGTACGAGGATCAATGAGTTATTGTCCCACTTATTAAAAAGAAAAAAATTACAAACTTGTTAATTTTTAAATTTAAACTATAAATAGCTAAAAAATAGAATAAAATATTGATTGTCCCATTCCAGATTTTTATCATAATGAAAGCGGAATTCTACACATGCTCTGAATAACCTTACAATTCCTTATTATTTGCACATTTATCATAAATTTAATGAAACAACGAACCTAATTACATATTTATTTTTCGTCAAACTTGACAGTTGAAATGATGGGATCGTACCTGTACGATTTATTGATCTCAATATTTAGACGATAAAAATTGTTGAAACGTGAATGAAATAATAAACATTTAATCCTGCTAAAAACACATTACTTAATCGCTACCGAAATAAAATCAATCAGCGAAAATTAAACTAAAAAATGTTCTTCCTACTTGAATATGTAAACACGAACTGATTTTTAAATGTTATAGGAATTAATTCTAGTATTAATTTTTAGAACTAGACAAGTATAAATAAAATCCTGGCAAAGTAAAATAATTAACACCTGTGGTGTATTTCATTCATTGAAGCACAAATTCCACACAAAAAAAAAATGTCGCGCGTTTTTGAAAAGTACCCCAAAACTGGGCTTGAAACTAAGGTTAGGAGGCCCATTTCGTCCAAAATCTAACAAATATTTTCAAGTTTTTGCGCTCTTTTTTCCATTATGTACCAAAAACGCAAAATTACGATTTGGCAAGACATGAAAGTGGGCAAGGAGGGGTTGCATACAATATTTTTACCACAAATTTGAATGTGTGTAAAATCGTGTACTTACCCAAAACAGTCCACTTCTCCATTGATAAAACTGAGATAAAAAGATGTTGGTACAGGCTGTAGCTGACCCTTGCTGATAACTGGCAGCGACGATGCACAGGCCACTTGATTTGGCGCACTAAGTCGGATCGATGGCTGGCGCCTCACAAAACCGGCGTCCAAGATGGCTCAAAAGACAATATCGTCAGCTGAGTTTGTTGATTATATTAAGCACACTTTGTGAACATTAACTCCTTTATTATGATGGTAATGACACATTTGTTAGCGCCGCCAAAGTGTTAAGTTTTACTTGTCTAGCAGCACTTTGATCATAAAATTTGTGTGGGTGTTTACAGCCCCTGAAAACGTTTTTTTTGTGTTTGTGATTTCTTAATAATATCGAACTGGGATGCTGAGTGGGCGAATACGTTAGGTGACGTCAATAAAGAATAAGTCTTTTGTCAAATATAAGTTATTTTTATTTACAAGGTATCAAAAATTACAATTTTTCGAAAACAGAAGACGTCTTTTGGCGTAGATGCTATTAGTATTTTTATATCTAATTATTGGTATACAGTGGAAAACAAAGTAGATACTATTTCACTTGGAATGTTACTTTAGAACTCTGAACTACTTAACACAGTTTAGTGCAATTAGTTTTAAATTATCTCTGACGAGAATTTTTTCACGACAAAACTATTTCAATATTAATACTTTTGCGGTTCATGAAATTGTGTTACAATATTTAAGCATCATTTACTTTTAGAAGCTCCTAAAAAGTTTGAAGGTTTAATCATGCGGTGGCAATGCAACACTATCTCATTAATAAAACGCTTTAAATTACAACAGCATATGTTGAGATAATTAGAAAAGCATTACGATAACATTACTGAGAAAGCAATTATAAAAAATCGTCTCAAATTAATAAACTTGAAGTAAAAAAAAATGGCAGCTTCATTTCATTATATTCAATGTCTAATTGCACTAAAAATAATAATAAACCCTATTCACGAGAGAGAGCACAAACGGAACAAAAAATATCAGCTACAAACGCATTCGTAATAAATAAACCTAAATGTACGACTTATTTCGAACAATTAACTAGTGAATTAATTCAAATTAACAATTTACAGGATGTTTATAAATGTCGGTGATTAAGTCAACTGTGGGAATTTAAGTTTTTCCCAAAACACTGTTTTCAGTTTTTCATATTTGTTTTGAGTTGTTTCTCGTTACAGATTAATTCCGTAGTTGATTTGGTGTAAGAACATTTATAAACTGTCTTGCATAACAAAATAACAAAAATGTAGGAAGCAATTATCAACATAAACTAGGATTTACGTTGGTTTTGTAGAAAGACTAGAAGCACGATGAAATCACAGAAACATACATTAATAATCACTGATAAATAAATTTACGTTTTTTTTAGTTAAAATGAAATAAAATATTTTGATGAATAATTATACAAATTATTGCCATAATGGTATATAAATAAATGAATTAAAACAAAATTTATCCACTCAATAATTTACTAAACAGTTAATTCATTCAAAATATAGAGCACCATTTATTGATTTCATTATCGGATTTTTGTAACAGTATTTACCTAAATTTCATAAATTTATACGAAAATTAAAAATACTTTCACGATAAAAAAGGTAGCGTGTATAAATAATTTAATTGCATACAGGGTGTTCCACCATGGAGATCTCAGTTATTATAAGAGATCGAGTTAAATTAGAGCAAAGTTGTGCATTTTTATGCTGAATAATAATCTGAAAGAAAATTTAATGTGTCAATATTTGAATTATTTGGAAAAAAAAACATAAATTTGTAATTTTCGTTATTTTTTCAAGAGAAAACTAAAAGACCTAGACGTTTTTAACTAGGACGTTCTTAGGGCACTTTCTTACAAGGAATCTAAATCTGTCATCGTATTGTCCAAGGCGCTCTTGATATCAGAATTACAACAACACTCAACTTTGGATTTTCTTATGGACGCCCTGTATTTTTGAAAAGTCTTTTTGTTTCTGATTACAACGATGTATCACACGATATAATCAAATTTTACGTGCTGATCAAATCTAAGAAAAAGCGTTTTTGCGAAGAGTGCTTTGGAAAAAATGCCACCAATTTTAATTAACAAACTAAGTTTTATAACTTTGTGTTGTTTTGTTTTGCGAAGAATAAATTCTAGTTTATCCCGTTGTTCCTATTTCAAAACCTTAGTTTTTAAGCTTGATGGAAATGTGACAGATCCAAAGTCAACTGAACTGTCAAAATCTACTTTGTTAATTAAAATTGTTGGTGTTTTTTCCAAAGCACTCTTCGCAAAAACGCTTTTTTTTTAAATTTTGATTAGCATGTAAAATTTGTGATCAGGAACAAAAAGACTTTTCAAAACTACAGAAATTAAATATGGCGTCTAAAAGAAAATCCAAAGTTGAGTATTGTAACTCCTCTGATATCAAGAGCGCCTTGAAAAATACGATGACAGATTTAGATTCCTTGTAAGAAAATGCCTTAAGAACGTTCTAGGTAACGTTATCTTTTAGTTTTCGCTTAAAACAATAAAAACGAAAATTACAAATTTCCGTTTTTTTCCAATAACTCAAAAATTAAAAATGGCACATTAAATTTTCTTTCAGATTATTGTTCAGCATAAAAATGCGCAGCTTTGCCTTTATTTAACCGACCTTGTATCTCCTATAATAACTCAAAAAACGAACATCCTGTATATTAGAGTAATTTAAAATCTCTTAAAAAGTGCTCCACTTTTCAATTAAAAAATTACCCAACTTCTTGTGGTGTTCAACTTGACTAATAATAACAAAAATGTTATGACAAAAAATATTCAATTTTAGATTATAATAAAAAATGAGTCTTTTTATTTAAAATTCTTCCATAAATTACGATGAAACAATTACGTGGACAAGTATTTATAAATTTTTACAAAAAATAAAACTTTTTGTACAAGGGTTTAATTCTCAGTTATTGCCATATTATGAGCATACACATAAATATAAACACATGATAATAATAGTAGCAACAATATTAATAAATGCTGACAAAAATTAGACAATTTTTTCCCTTAACTCGCTTAAAATCTAGTATTGATTATGTTTGTTTCCGAAAAATAATAAATTCAATTTTCAAGGTAACAACACGCTGAAATTTGTTGATTTACGAAACAAGTAAAAGCATACGTCATAACGTATGTCTATGAATTAACATACTAACTTTATGTTTCGTGTGTTTTTTGTATGAAAAATGTGAAACTCGATTCTTCGAAATACCATTACATTTACTTACAAAATCATTAACATTGCCATCAATTTCATTATCATCTATCTTAATTTGACTCTCGTTGTGTATGTCGGCATTAATAACGTGCTTATTTAACTGTTTCTCGGAATGCACTTTACACCTATCACTAGTATTTAAAATTTTCTCATTGGATGAACTCATAATTTGTGACAGATCATCAAGACTATTGCTGTCGTTTTTGTTATTTAACTCATCGTTAACTTTACACACGTCTTTGCTTTGGTCAGTTCCGTCCTCATGAGTCCATATGATAACCACTCAATCTCCTCGGTGGGCTCTGACACGCTGCGGTTCGGTATTTCCCCGATAAATGTAAACTTGTAACAAAATCAACACGTCCACAGCCACCTGCACTGACCCACAGATCCAAAACTGAATCGGAGCTTCACGTAATAAAAAATACAAAGTCTTAAAAACGTCACCGCAAGTCCACATTATCACCATACTGACACTGCAATTCAAAAATAATCAATCAAAAAGCAACAATATGACAACGACACTCACCTCATACCTTCAGTGGATTTACTTTTGAAATTTTTTACTAATTGTGGAGTACCTAACATGGCTTCGGTAAAAACAGCCAAGAAGCCCATGAGTTCCACGAAAATTATCTTGTCTATGAAAACGTACATTAGGATTGACGTCGCAATCGTAAACACCAACATGCAGTCAATGTACGACTGGAAATCGTTCCAGTTCCAAAAGTACTTAATATCGAAATCTGAAAGAAAATCTTGGTTTTCGACAGATTTTCATAAAAAAATTAAATGAGTAACATGCGTCTTTAAAGCCTATTTTAAATATTCAGAATTCGAAGTAATTTATTGAGTTGCGCAACCAACGAATTATTGTTATTGGTTGTATTGTTGCACGTGTTTTAGTCCAAAAAAAAAACTTTTTTGGTGTTATACTATTTACTCAGATGATGTAATGTCATGATTATATTGATTAATAAGTATTTTTTTTATTACTATGAATGAAAAACTCGTATTTTCTATGTAAGACACTCACAATTTAGTTATAACTACTACACTACTCCAAAAAATTAAAGGAACACAAAATTTTCCTAAATTTTTTGGTGATTTTTGAAAGGCTGTAACTCAACGAAAAATGGTCGTATCTAGATCTTAAAAAAAACATTTTGAAGTTTTAAGTTTCTAGTTTTGAGATCTTTTAGCAAATATTTTTTCTGTGCTACGGTTATCACGCAATTCTAAGTAATAGCGCAAGAAAAAAAATTCAAAATTTTTCTCGGACCAATTGATTAGTTTTGCAAAAGAATTAAAAGAACAATTGTACTATTGTTTCTGAACATCGTCTAATATTCGTCAAGATGAGAAAAACAAATTTTTTCAGCTTTCTTTTACAATTTTGCATTTGTAAATTAAAAAAAAAATCGAAAGAAATTCAAAAAAATATTTTTGATTTCTTTTTCAAAAATTAAGCAGTACTGTTTCTTAAATGTTTTTACAAATTTTCAAAAAAAAAACAAAAAGTTTTTGTTTAATTTTTTTTATTTTTAGCTNAAAGTTTTTGTTTAATTTTTTTTATTTTTAGCTAATAACTAATGCAAAATTGTACAAAAGTCGAAAAAAATGTTTTTTTTCATCTTGATGAAAATTAGGCATTGTTCAAAAATAGTATGTTCAATTGTTCCTTTAATTCTTTTGCAAAATTTTGATCAATCAGTCTGAGAAAACGGTTTAATGTAGATTTACTAAAACAACGCTTAAAAATACTTTTTTCTCCTTTTTTTAAATCAATATTGTGAAAAAATCATAAAAAATCATAAAAAAATCTTATAAAACATTTATTCCAGTTTTTGACACTACCCTTATATTCTCTGTGTGGTCATTGGTTGCTGAGATATCGATGATCAAAAACAAAAGGATTTTTTCATTTTTTTTTCAAAAAAAAATTTTCATTTAAAGTCATATATCTCAGCGACAAATTGACGGAAAATGTGAAAAAAGCATATTAAAGGTAAACAAACATGCTATCAGGCCTATGCATTTTCAACTAAAAAAAATTCCCCACGCCTGTGGACCAAAAACGAAAACATGAAACTTTAGAATTTTTTTCTCGCGCTATTACTTAGAATTGCGTGATAACCGTAGCACAGAAAAAATATTTGCCAAAAGATCTCAAAACTAGAAACTTAAAGCTTTAAAACGTTTTTTTTTAAATTCAGGTACGACCATTGTTCGATGAGTTACAGCCTTTCAAAAATCATCAAAAAATTTTGGAAAATTTTTTGTTCCTTTTATTTTTTCATGACTGTTTCATGCATTGTGACAAAAGATCTCAAAACTAGAAACATAAAGCTTCAAAATGTTTTTTTTTTAATCTAGATACAACCATTTTTCGATGAGTTACACAAAAATCACCAAACAATTTAGAAAAATTTTTTGTTCCTTTATTTTTTGGAGTAGTATATGACATCACCAACAAATAATAAATATAAATAGCCTTTTTCAGCCATCAGAAGTTATCTTTCTATTCCAATAAAATCAATAGCTCAGTTATACTGGAAACATGCCAAATAAAGTTTGAGTCGTGCAAATGCCCCTTTAATATGAAAAACAAAAAAATAGTCTTTATTACTTTTATAAACAAACAGATCATCCTTTATACATAAAGAATGAATTTTGGACTTCATTCGAGTAAATATTAACAGTTTTAAATACTCGATCTAAACGTAACAATGTTACAATTGAATTAAGAGATTACAAATTTCGACAATACGTAACCATTATTTAAGTTTTGTTGATAATAGACTTCAAACTAAATAAAAAAGAGACTTTCACACACCTACATTACATAATTATTTGGCGCCAATGAAAAAATGTAACAACGTGGGTCGTCAAATTCGATAAAAATATTAGAAGCGAAGATAATGCTAGTTTATTTATCTTTTGATTAAAATAATTTGACTTTAATGACCTTAGTAGAGATAAGAAATAGAAATCCATGTTAAATATGGGTTCAATGATAGAAATAGAAAAGATTTATCATGCTGACTAAAGTAATGCCAATAACTGGAGAAGTATTCTGGCTAACTATTTAAACAATGTTAATTGTTAAAAGGAAATTAACAATAGAAATTTTTGAAATTGGCAATACTTTAAATCCTTGTTAGTACTGAAAGCAAAAAGCAAGGCGTGCAAGCAAATTACCACAAATATTGTGAGAAGAGCGGGGAGGCTTAGATTTTAACAATCTGACGACTTCACTGGGTTTAGCTGTCAAAAATAAAAATTTATTATACCAATTTTTGTAAAGTAATAAGAAAAATAAAAATACTGGTGTAAGCAATAGGAAAAAATAATTTTACCATAATTCGCATTTCTTTGAGCTACTTATCTCAGATTTATTTGGAAATATTGATTCTTTCTCTAAAAATAACCCCTGCAAAAATCCATACCTGTAAATATCCTTTGTCTGGCTTGCATAAGCTGATTCCTATTTCTTACACGAACACATAAATGTATCATAACAAACATTGTCACGTTCATGATTATACTTTGAATCAAAAGGGGGTATTCGAAGTGTTTACCAAACCTAAAAGCACCCAGAATTTAGGACAATTTTTACAAAAAGCAATACGATTCTTACCAAAACATAATACGTAAAGTATTGGCTACTAAAAGGGCCAGGCAAACCAACAATGAGAAACCTTCAGCATCTTGTGTCTTTCTGATTTGTCGGTATTGAGGAATGTAAGGGATGACACCCCCAACAATCATAGCACCAGCGCTGACCCAGCCAACCAATGTTCCCACTGTAAGGGACAGTTCGTCCGATATCACCCAATCCATGTTGCTAACTACTTAATAACAAGCAAATGCCTTTTTATTTGGTGTTGCCCATTTTTATTACCACTGTGTTCACTCAACTGTCAAATGTCAACTAAAAATGTCAAGTTTAATAGGCTGTGGTGGCGAAGGTAACGCGCCGGCGCACCACAAATTTAATTGCAAATTAAAATTACAGCCCTACTCTGAAACAAATTCACAATTTTTGCAATTGCAACAATTTCAAATCATTTTCCAGTTGCACACCAAATAAATTAAGTCACACTTTAACTTTTTTTATTTTTTTTACGTAACCCTAGCCACACTATGTCATCGGCATAGGTTATGTTTAATGTCAATAAAAAAGGTATAAAAATAATTCATTTTAATTTTTTTACGTAGTTTTTAAATTGCAGCAAAATGATCACATCCCGGCTCCTTCACCCAATATGTAGGTGTCGATTGATGCTATTTTCCAGCAACTCTATTTCTAAGCAAATCAATCGCAGCAAAAGTCAATCGGCCCTAAGCAAAACAGTAAAAAACGAGCTTGATACTAATGTAAAATTAGGTGAAAAAGTGAAGGAAACCACAAAGACTGCTTCGTACTTAGGAATAATACTGCTGGGTGTGGGGGTTACAGGCTCCCTATTTTATGCAGTTTTTAATGAGTTGTTTTCAAGTAAAAGCCCCAATAATGTGTATTCTAAGGCGGTAGAGAGGTGTAAGGCTGATCCAAGAATTCAGGATAAACTGGGGCTTCCAATTACAGCTTTTGGGGCTGAAACAACTAGGAGGAGAAGACACTATGTCAGTCATGTGATTTATCAAAGAGACGGAAGACAGTGTTTGAGAATGAAATTTTATTTAAAAGGGAGTTTTCATCAAGGAACTGTGCAACTAGAAATGGTGGAAGTGGGTTTTTGCAACTGTTGTAATATTCGAATTTAATAAGTTTTTTTTAGAATGATTCAGGGAAATACGAATATCGTTATTTATTTGTTCAAGTTGATGATTTGTTACAAACTGCAATTGTTTTGGAAGACAACAGGAATACAGCTTCGTCTTCGTCACAACCACTGGACTTGACGTTGTAAATAAAACAATGATAATAAAATTTGTTGAATTTTTATTGTTTTTTCTTCACCGGATTTTCCTCAAAAAACAGTATCAGCCTCCTACTAAAAATGTAGTGTTTTATTTTCATAATTATCCATGAAACTATTATGTATAGTGAAAGGTACTGAATCCAAGCCCATTTCAGTATTTGCCAAAAGCCAGGCTTGTAATATATCCTATCTTCTGGAAATTCTATATTTAAACTAAATAAAAAATTTTGTGTTTTTCCCGGAGAAAAACTTTTATACACGTTTTTGAGTGATGTGGTTACTAAAAAAATAAATGATTAATTTGTAAATCATTTAACTTACTTACTATTTCTCTTTGAAAAGTTTCTGATAATAGTGTTTATGTCATAATTGTTTAAATCACCATTGTCCATAATCACAGGATAATTGAATAAAGTATTGGTATGTTTTCTGTGACAAATTAGGGGGCGAGTTTGGGTTACGACCATATTAGCTACTAATGAATAGTGAGAAATATAAAATGGTAACAATTCTTGAAAAATAATGGCAGTTTGCATTTGAAAGGGACAAATCTGTTATAAAAATTGTTAGAATTACGGAAAACAATTGTAGTGTTTCTTACTTGTAATTTATAGCTTAGTGGAATAATTATACTCAAAGAGGTAAGTCTAGTTTTCACTGGAAGATTAACTTGTAGAGACAAATCTAATTCTTCTATTTTACCATCAAAATTTCTGTCATTTTCACGAACCTAAAAATACACGTAAATAAATAGCTTCTAAAAATTTAAAAGATCAAACCTTGATGATTGAACAACTATCTAAAGACCGCAATACATGATCAAAATGAGGTAAACTACTGCATGTTATAACAGACTTGTTGTTATTATTTGTAGTAGCAAAAAAAATGTATTCTCCCCGAAATTTTACATCCGGTTGTTCATAAAACGCATCTCTTTTCAACCACAAACCTGCAAATAAATTTTGCAGTACATCTCATTAAGTGAAATTAAATTCTCCTTACCTTTGCTCTTATATGCAAAAATAAACGGTAACACAAGTGATAAGATTCCAAAAATGAGCGCTAGCACCGATGCTTTTGACAGAAGAGTACTTTTGTAAGAAATTTTTAGATTTTTTGTGAAAACTTCTAAAACTACCATTTTTAAATAAGCATCACAAAAATCATTAAGGAAGTGGATCACATCATGTGGTTTTTGATCGGATTTTTTCTATTTGTTTACCTTTCATGGTCAAACAACTTGAATACAAACAATCACGTTGCTATGACAACCACAGCGCGGTTTATTTGAAACAAACCAGCATAGAACAAAGTAACAAACCTCTGTAAAAAGTGGAAACACATATTTTTTTTATCATAGATAAAATTCAGTTTTTACCGACGAAAAACAATTTGATGGTATGGTGATTAAAATTCGAAGTTTACTATTTTCGAGAAATTCTTGCTCTGACGACAGTAGTCATAAATAATATGAGATGCGAATGTATTTTTGAGAGCTTTAAGAAGAAAAATGTTATTTGTAACACGAAGGTACCTATAAAACGTTTTTGCGGACTTTTGCTAATCTAGACTTGGAAACAGTAACGATTCGTTCGGAAAAACTGTAATAACACTCAAGATTTTCTGCAATCAAAATAAAATAAAAAGTACTTGGAATTGGAAATTAACGTTTAAAAAATGATTTGGACCGGATACTCGATAATGACTAATATTGTGGTTACATATTTTAATTTAAATTAGTTAAAATTTTATTCATAAAAGATCAAATAAAAGAAAGTTTTAGTATATCAGCGATGATGAAATTGATTGTTCATGACATGAGTAACGAGATCTACTGGCACTGATGGCAATGACATATTTAATTCTTACGTTATTTGGTTTTTCCAGTAGCTTCGCTTGAAGAAGAAAAAATGTGCAATAACCGGGTTTTTGCGTTTTTACAACATTTTATGCACTTACAACAATATTCTTTTATTATTTAATACAATTGGAAACCACTTTGAATTTTTTTATTCAAATACTAAAGAAAAATAAAATAAAAATAATAAAGTAATACTAATAACAATAAACAATATTATAAAAAAAGATCATTGTTTTGCGACAAATTATTATTAAAAAAATTGCTTGTAAAACTAAAATTGTCAAAATCTGTTTAAAGGTAACATTCTAAACTATTAAGAATTTTGCGATTTCTCGCAAATCAATGTTTTTATCACGTATTCTGCGTTTATCAAAATTTTTATTATTCTTAGAATTTCTAATTTTATACAGCAGCTGCCCTGATGTTACTTGAAACAAATATTTATTTATCATTAAAAAAAAATAAGTGATAACCTTTATATAATATTACTTGTTAAATTAATTTAAAACTGTTCATCAAATCTTAATAAAATAAACGAAATTTGTTCTAGCAATTGAAAAGGTTAATTTTAATAATTACTACTTATTACAAAAAAATTCTCAAGTATGGATTATTTTTGGAACGTATACACGAAAGGAATTAACGTACACAAATTTATTTAAAACTGTTTTTTCTTCTTTAAAATTATTGTTTATTGCTTTTCAACTGACACATACTGCTGGGAGGGTTTTGCTTATTCACGCATAAATAGAATCTCTCGTCTTGAGAAACATCAGTATTATTTCTGTGGTGTAAAGTGCAGTTAACTGGGTTTCAATATTTGGTATTATTTTTTTAATAAATATTTTTACTAATCTCATAGTTTATTTTAAACAACTACTTTTAAAAGCAAAATCACATCTAATAATATTCTAGAGAATTCTTATTTCTGACTGAAATATCTAGTTCTAATTATTATTATTATTATTATTATTAATTATAAATTATTACCACTCTTTTTAATTTTTGTTGTCTTTCAAGTGATTGAAAAATTGAGAATGTATTATTTTAAGCTGTTTGTAATATGCATTTCATTTTTAAATACTACTGATTTAATTGAAAAAAAAATGAAAATATTCTCAAGGCAACTTTAATGAAATTATTCAAAGAACTATAATTGTTGTCTTTAGACTTAGTTTATTCTATAGATATAAAATAATATATAATCTCATAAACAATGTTGTAATAGATTTTTTATTAAAAAAGTAGGTACAACATAAGCAAAACTCTTTTGCAATGGTATTTTGTAGGTTCATATTCGACCTCAAAATTAAAATAAACATTATTTTATATAGTTTGGTGACACCTGATGTCCTTATTGTTGGTCTGATTAAAAGATTAATAGTTTGAACAGAATAATCTTTGGCAAAGCACTTGTCATGAATTCTGTGCCAAGTTTTTTAACCGCAGCCCAATTTTTAATGCAGTCATAAAATGGAACCGATTGAAGTTGAGTCGACTGAATTTTATCCCAAAGACAACGCTAAAGAGAATCACACAACAGAATATGATTTAGTCAACAACGCTGATTTTCCAACACCTATATTAAGACGAGGATGCAACTTTTTCTTGGCAATACGATTCAATCGAGATTTCGATGAAACAAATGATGTTGTGCGAGTTAGATTCGGATTTGGTAAGTTCTTGTGAATGGTTTTTTATGAAATATTTAATAAAAAAAAGATTTATAATGTTGTTTACAATAACGTAATGCTGGATTTTGGTATCTGTTCATCTGAAGGCCGCGATTGTTAAAAGAATAATAATTAGTTTGTATTTGCATAAAATTCCAGGACCCAAACCCAATGTTGTTAGAGGAACAAGAGCAATTCTGCCGATCCTGGCAAGGCAAAAAGTTTTGCCCAAAAACACCTACATGTGGTCGTCTTGTGTCACCAGAATTGATGGAAATATTGTAATGTTACAAGTCCACATCCCACCAAATGCTCAAGTTGGAATCTGGAAATGTTCGATTCAAACTAACATTTCTGGTCAACGTGACAAACGCTACGATTATAAAGTACACAACTTTCTTAGTGTGATAATCATAAAAATTGGCGTTTTTAGGTCGAAGACGACATTTATATCCTTTTCAATCCTTGGTGCGAAGACGATGGTGTTTACATGCCTGATGATAAGGAAAAACAAGAATATATACTCAACGAAAATGGAAAAATTTGGTGTGGTACGTTCAAAAAACCAGTAGGAAGGCATTGGATTTTTGGACAGTTTGATGATATAGTGTTACCAGCGGCGGTACTTTTGCTGGACAAGTCGGGATTGGCCCCTGCTGATAGAGGGTCTCCGGTTTTGGTGGCTAGGGCGATTTCAGCTGTGGTACTATAAGCAAATTTTCTAAATAAAAAAAATCAAATCTATTTTAGATAAATTCGGTTGATGATGATGGTCTTCTGGAAGGGAGATGGGACGGAAATTACAGCGATGGTACCTCCCCTCACGCTTGGACCGGTTCTGTGGCAATTCTCGACCAGTATCTTCGAACAGGAGGAACTCCAGTAAAATATGGTCAATGTTGGGTTTTCTCAGCTGCTACTGTTTCCGTTTGTCGTGCTTTAGGAATTCCTTGTCGTTCAGTGACGAATTATGTCTCTGCCCACGATACAAATTGTTCTCTAACCGTCGACAAGTACTTTTTTTTTGTTATAATCCCAAATGACTCATTTTCGATTGTAGATACTTTGATTTGTTTGGGAATAAGATTGAGAATGGTCCTGAGGGAGACTGCAACGATTCTTGTTGGAACTTCCACGTCTGGAACGACGTCTGGATGACGAGACCTGACTTGCCTCCAGGCTACGGTGGTTGGCAAATAATCGACGCAACACCGCAAGAACAAAGCGACAAGATTTTCAGATGTGGTCCTGCTTCAGTGGAAGCGGTTCGTAAAGGTCTTGTTGGGTATTTGTATGATACTCCATTTGTATTTTCGGAAGTGAACGCTGATATAATTCACTTTCAAGAAGACCAAAACTCGGATTGGGGGTTCTCCCGTTTAAAAATCAACCAATATCAGTCAGTAAGAAATTTTTTTTGTTGGTTTAAAATTCATTTGGTTTGTTTAGTGTGGGTCGCAAAATTTTGACCAAACGCATTGATGTCACCGACGAAAAAGGCGATTCCGATTTGTGGAATGTCACCTCTCTTTACAAAAATCCCGAAGGGACGGAAGGTGAACGATTAGCTGTGTATAACGCTGTGAAGGGGGTTCCCAAAGCTCAGCATCTTTATGACTTTCCAAGTGAAGTTCAAGAAGATGTGTTTTTTGATTTAGTTGATATTGATTCAATTCCTTTTGGAGAAAATTTTGAAGTGAAAGTTGAAATGGAAAACCAATCTGGGGAGATGCGTACTATTAGTGCAGTTCTCTCTGCAAGCTCAATTTTTTATACTGGAGTTACGGCAAATCAAGTTAAACGTCTGCAACAAACCTTTACGTTGGATCCTAAACAAAAAGAAACTTTAAAAATTACAATAACGCCGGAAGAATATTTGGAGAAATTAGTCGATCATGGTTTAATAAAAATCTACGCTATTGCTAATGTGAAAGAAACGAAGCAAACCTGGAGTGAAGAAGATGATTTTACCTTGACAAAACCTGAAATGATTATAAAAGTAGCTAGTGAATGTAAAGTGGGAGAAGATTGCAATGTTGCTTTGAGGTAAGTCATATAAATATTTAAGATTTCAGTTTGAACGTTTTACGTTTCAGTTTTCAAAACCCCCTGTCTCTTCCTTTAACAGATTGCAATTACACAATAGAAGGGCCAGGTTTACAAAAACCCAAAACAGTTCGATTTAGGGATGTTCAGCCTAAGGAAATTGTCAACATAAGCGAATTTTTCAGAGCCAAAAGGCCCGGAGAAAGAAGAATTGTTGTTAATTTTAACTCTAAACAAATGCAAGGCATTTCGGGTACAAGCAAAGTTACTGTTGCTTGAAAAATTAAATATGTCAAAGTTGTTGGGCAAGAAGAAGAATTATTTTAATATAGTTTGCACTTTGCAATATTGTATAATCATTTTACATAAAGTGTCAAGAAGTTTTTTTTTGAAAAGTAGTTTTATTTCAACTGAGTCCTGTGTTCTACACTTTAAAATATTTAAATAAAATTTATACCGGGTGAATAAAAAGTATGGAACCAAGCATTTTTTTGTAAACTAACCACTTTACGAAAAAAATAATTAGTGTATCTTAAAGTACAATTAAAATGTGACCATTTATCAAGAATAACATTTTTCGAAGTTTCTTTTAGTTTTCGAGTTTAGGAAAAAAATATTTTTTTTTAAATGGCAACCCACTATGATAATTTTTTTAATTAAAGATTATGATCTAAAAATGACCTCTAATTAAATAAAATTGGTTTTTAGGCAATACTTTTTTTTAAATAAATTGTTAAAGTTTGCGTTCACGAAGATTTTTCGAACTTAACCGAAGGGGTCATTTCATGTATTTGGTCCTTGGAGAACTCGGTTTTTTGTGCAGGTGCTTTGGGGTTGTTCCGAATAGATCAAAAAATTTAATTAGAACTCGTTTTTCTTCTATTTTTAGTCTATTCGAAACCACCCCAAAGTAACTGCATTCGGGAAATCTTCAACGCAACTTTAATAATTTATTAAAAAAAAATACTGGCTAAAAAAGAATTTTATTAAATTAGAAGTCACTTGTGGTCATAATCTTTAATTAAAAAAATATCATTGTGGGTTGCCATTTGAAAAATTTTTTTTTACAAAACTCGAAAACTAAAAGAAATTTCGAAAAATGTTATTTTTGATAAATGATCACATTTTAATGTATTTTACGCTACACTAATTTTTTTTTTCGTAAAGTGGTTAGTTTACGAAAAAAACGCTTGGTTCCATACTTTTTATTCACCTGGTATTATTTATACAATGGCAGCGCTTTATGCATAAGTAATGAACATACAAAGAATGTTTTGCAACAACAAATTATTTTGTATTTGTAAACACGAAGTGTTAATAATTTTAAATGCTCACTTGTACATGGTTATTTATGAAAATTGGATTTACATACCCTCTTTGGTATTCATGAGAATAGTAATTTTTTTATCTTGCATCACCTATGCATATTCAAGATTAATTAAAATTGCAACAGGAGTTCAATGGAAGAAAAAATAACAACAAGGAAAACTCAGGAAAAATTATCTGTTTCTGAATAGAAAAGAAATATCTTTTAAACACGTGATTAAAAACTTACAAATTTACAGAATACCAAAACAAAACAAAATTTTGCCCAAAGTTTAAATTCAGAAACTCATTTTTTATCACCCTGTATGATGCTAAAATGCAACTCTATATTTATCAAAGTGACAGAATTTAACAATACTAGGAAGGATTATTCGTAATCTTAAGCAAATACGAAAATGGGTGTTACATTTCTGGAATTTTATTGTTATAATCAGTAAATAAACTGATTCATCGTGTGGTATCCCCACTATGCATCAATACTTCGCACGCTCATGTTGAGAATTTGAAGTCAACAATTCATCCTACATCCAATCCAACCACATGGTCATTGTGATACTTTTTTTTTCTATAAGTGCAACTAAACTAGTGCAACATAAATTTATCTAAGTGAAATGGGAAAACTGCGATGTCCGCGTTGGTGCAACTGCATCCCTTGCTTTCGCGCAAAATTTACCCCCAATCATGACACCGCGTTGCAACCTTTACCGAAACCGAAAGAAGCAGGTAAGCCATAATAACTCAATCTTAATACTTAATAAATAAATAAATAAAAAAATTAAATAAAACTTCTCGGCGTCTAATTAAAATTAATTAATGATTTTGGGCGTGTATTCGCCAATACTTGTTGAAAGGAAAGAATGTCATACTGTTCCCAAAATAGCGTTAAAAATTTTACAGCATAATTTCGCACATATGAAGGCTTTTACGAATATTTCTGTTTACGCAATGCTAATTTATTCCAAATGGAACTTAAAATAGCTCAAGGAGCGCTGATCTAAATGGTTTTCCAAACTTATAATTAAATCCATCCAAAAAATTTTATTATCATTTTTATTACTATAAACACTGTTAATTGTCTTTAAAGGAGGTTAATCTTATTAGCTTTTTAAATGACAGTGTTTTGCATTGAAGACACACCTGCATCCATATTTAATGAGCTGTAACAACATCCTATTATAGCATACGTGACAGAAAAGTAAGTAACTATTATGTAAACATGAAACAGATAGAAAGAATTCGATTAAAGAAATCAAGGTAAACCACCTGAAATCGATAATTTTCTTTGTAGCTAAAGTTATTTCATGTAATTCAGCTCTTAGAAATCCAGTGATGTTATTTCAGCACCTACGATGAAAACTAATCCTCGTTATTAGTTAATGATTCAATCCCAGCTATTTACAGAATTACATTTATGTCATCATTGTCAAGATTAGATAATGTGGTCAATTTTTCATAATTAACTGTTATTTATAAACGTATAAACAGCACATAATTTTCTGTAAAATAAAAATAAAACAGCTAGTAACTCCTAATTCCTTATTAGGTAGTAACATTTTTTATTTTATTGTTGTCGAGATATTTTTAAAGCTTGAAGTCATGATGATGTCAGACGCGGTAATAATTTATGCTAATCAGTTAGAGAAGAAATCATCTTACATCTCTATGAAAATAATATAAAATTCTGAATGAATGTCTGGTGTGAAATTCTTTCAGCGTGACTCCAGTATTTCACTTTCGTTCGGGTCTCGCCATCAAGGTTAAACACTTGACCTATTCCCAAATTAAATCTAAAATGCGATAACTGCACACCTACTAATCTAAAACACGAACACTTTTCTTTAGATGAAACAGACGGAGTGCCATTTATCGACTCCAAAGAAGAATTGGACATTTTAATAATACGAAAAATTGACCCGTGCATTATCATCAATGGAATTTCTCATCACACATCAAAATTTGAACTAATGAACCGTCAATTTGAACCTCAACTTGTCGTGAGGAGAGGTCAAAGTTTCAGGCTTGATATAACTCTCAACCGGCCTTACAAGGAGGAGAAAGATGGGATTTCGTTCATTTTTACAGTTGATGGTAAAAATTGGCGAGTTTTAGTATTTAGAAGTTACAATTTTTTTTAGATCAGGAGAAACCAAATTATGGTCAGGGCACTTTGGTTGCTGTTCCTCTTCTTAAACGGCCAGATCGCCACTTGAACTGGAATGTAGTTCTCGAAAACGCTGTAGAAAACACAATTACGGTCCAAATTACTACAGCACCAGATGCAGTAGTGGCAAAATGGCACATGGAAGTCGATACCAAAATCATCAATAACAGTGCTTATAGTTACAGCTGGGACACAGGGATTTATCTCCTGTTCAATCCCTGGTGCAAACAAGACCAGGTCTATATGAAATCGGAGGATTGGCGAGATGAGACAGTGCTTAACGATGTTGGGATTATTTGGAGAGGGACAGCAAACCGGATGCGACCCGTTGTGTGGAAATATGACCAATTCGAGAAAGATATTCTCGAATGCTCACTTTACTTGATTCGAATCGTTGGTAAAGTCAAGTGTGGGTACAGATCCGATCCTGTCAGGACTGCGAGAGCTTTAGCAGCTGCTGTTAACTCAGCTGATGACTTGGGGGCAGTCATGGGGAACTGGTCGGAGGATCACAGTGGAGGGACTCCTCCCACCAAATGGATCGGAAGCAAAGAAATTCTACAGAAATACTACAAGAAGAAAAGACCTGTTAAATACGGCCAGTGTTGGGTTTTTTCAGGAGTTCTTGCCACAAGTACAATTCCCATTTGTTAACAAACTGAAATAATTGAATTTTTTAGTTTGTCGAGCTATTGGAATTCCTGCTCGCACCGTCACTAACTACTCCTCAGCTCACGACACTCAAAGCTCTCTTACAGTGGATTATTTCACCGACGAAAAAGGTTCAGTAATGGAGGAGTTGAACTCGGATTCGATTTGGAACTTCCATGTTTGGAACGAAGTTTGGATGCAGAGGCCTGATTTAGGACGAGATTACGCAGGTTGGCAGGCCATTGATGCCACTCCTCAAGAATTAAGCGAGGATATGTACAGAGTAGGCCCCACTTCTGTCTTTGCTGTCAAACAAGGAGAGGTTTTAAGGCCCTATGATGGGGCCTTTCTGTACGCTGAAGTCAATGCTGATAAGGTAATTACTAGTAATTTTGGTAAATTGTAATTCAATGTCAAAACGATCACTTTTAAAACTTATTGTTTAAATTTGAGATATGTTATGAAACGTGTAAAAATATATGACACGTAATTCACCATTTTTTATTATTTTTATTATGTATCTCGGAGCAAAAAAAAATTTTATCTAAAGAACAAATCAACATATTGAAACGATTTTTTCTTAATAATAGATATAAATAGGTACGTTACGGACGTGATAATACATGTATTTTAAAAATTTGTCTTTAACAAATAATTTAAAAGTACATTGTTTAAACAAAAAAATAAACAATTACGCAGTTTTTAAAATTCTCAAAAAAATTATGTTAAAACTTTCATACTTTTACTATGTCTTCACATAAGTTTCAAGACGGACGTTTTAAAAATGGCTGAAAAAAAAATTATTTGAGAGCGCTGCATAGTGCATGATCCCCTAAGATCGCCTGAAAGTAGCGTTTCCTTGAAAATTAAATAAAAAATTACCAATTACGTCACTAATAAACTGTTCCAATAACTTATTAACATTTATTTTTCAAAAAATTTCAATAATAAATACAAATTCCTCGGTTGAGGAAGAGTACTCTCTATATTTTTTTTATTCAATTTTCTGATATTAAAATAAAAGTATGTAGATTTCGCATACCTTTTATGAGCTTCGCTGGACAAAAATGATCATTTAAAAAATCGCAGTCTTTCAACTTGTCGATTAGATTATACAGGGTGTGTCAAAAGTCCCGGCCAACGTGAGATGCCATGTAAAAAAAAATCTTTCTATAAAAATTTTGAAGTTATGAGAGTTTAAATTTTGCAATTTGACTCTATTTGTTTTTGTTGAAAAAATTATTTTCCATGTTTTTTTGCTACATGCTATTAGAAGAGGAAACAAGGAAGCTGTAAATTGTAACTCTGTCTAATGTTATTTGTGGCTTTTATTGGCAAAATTATCGTAGCCTTATTAAATAATTAAAAAAAAACAAGATCATCAATATCATTAAATAGACATGAAAAATGTCAATTTTCAAAAAATTAATGTCCAAATTTTTTTTACAAAAAATGAGTTTTGAAAGTGATCGTTTTGGCATGGAATTATTCTAAATGCTGTGTGGGAATTTAATTATACTGGGTGTTTTTTTTTATATACAATTGGTTTTAGGTGTTTTGGAGATACGCTGGTCCCACACAACCGTTGAAACTTCTACGTAAAGACGTCCATGGAGTTGGAAAGCAAATCAGTACTAAAGCTCCAGGGAGATTCGAACGAGAAGATATCACAAGCTTTTATAAGTATCCGGAAAAATCCCCGGAAGAACGAAATACAATGTTGAAAGCTTTGCGTCAGTCAGAAAACTTGTTTTCGCGTTATTATTTAAACGAGGATTTCAACGACATTCACTTTAATTTCGAACTAAGGGACGATATTAAAATCGGGCAACCGTTTGATGTTGCTTTAGTCATGAAAAACAAGAACAAAATTACGGATTACAAAGTGAAAATTATTTTGCGTGTCGAAGTTGTGACTTATCGAGGCAAGGTCGGGGAAAATGTGAAAAAAGAAGACTTTGATGTAACAGTTAAATCAGACTCGACTTGCGAAGTTAAAATGAATGTGACTTATAACGAGTACGCAAAACGCGTTGTTGATCAATGTTCTTTTATAATTTCTTGTTTGGCTACGGTTGAGGATACCAAATTTGAATACTATGCTCAGGATGATTTCAGAGTGCGCAAACCTGACATTAAGATTGTTTTACATGATAAACCAATCGAAAATAAAGAAATCACTGCCGATATTTTTGTAGAAAATCCTTTGCCGGTACCGTACAAAAAGGGTGAGTTTACGATTGAAGGGCCCGGTATCGAGAAGAATCTTAAGGTCAAAGTCAAAAACAATGTTCCTCCTGGGGAAACGGCTAAAGCACAGTTCAAGTTTACACCACCCAGAACTGGGCGTCACACAATTGCTGCCAAATTTGTGTCGAAAGAAATTGATGATGTTGATGGGTATCTGGTGATCATGGTTGAGCCCAGCAAGGAAGAAAATGGAAGTAGGCTTTAACTATTTTATTATTAGATTAACTTAAGTATGAGAGACTTGCAAATTAAAAATTTATACATAAGAGAAATATATTAACATTTATATTTATATAAACATAGCTTTACAATTCAAGAAGTAGATTTTTACTAATATGTTATACTTCTTTATGTGCTAAACCAGTATTTATAAATGCATTTATTATATCTAAGTATTTTGTATGGAGTGTGAGCTTTAGGACGTACAAAATTATTGTCCATTGTAACCAAAGAAATGTTTTAATATTTATTTTTTAACAGTGTTAGTGTACCAATATTTTGTCATTGTTCTATAAGTGTAAAATAGTACAGATGTATATGTATAAGTTTTTGAATTATAAAACTTTACACATTAAAATGCAAAGCTTTTTAATAAAATATGTGTCTATTAATGACATTAGCAATTAAAAAAAAAGTATTAGATAATGAATATGCAGAATTAGAAGTGAAACCACAACTAATTAAACCGGACGCGGTAAACCAACTCTATTTATCTTAAAATTCTTGTAATTAAAGATTTGCAGATAATAAGTTACGGTGTTTAGTTTTCATTATCTTGTGATCATCAAACATCCTCAGGATGCTTACTTCGGCAATCCTTTGTTTAGTTACCAACAACCACTTAAGACGTTTAACCTTTCGTAATTGCCATTCATAAAGACTCTTCAGCTTCGTTAACACCTAAAATCAATATGGATAAGTTAAATCTTGTGGTAGTTTATTCTGTGCTGTGTTGTGCTGCTGGTCAAAATCAAAGTTCGCGAAATTTTAACAGTGACTGTGGTCAAGTCTTGACTCAAAAACAATTTGTAATAGAATCGCCAGGTTATCCAAGCAATTACCCTCCAGATTTTGAATGTTCGTATCTTATAAAAGGGCCCACATGTCCGACAAGTTTCAGTCTTCAGTTTGTTGACTTTAGCATTGAGGAGTCTTTAGGCTGTTATAAAGATCGATTGGAAATTGGCGATAAAGACGCTGTTTGCGGTTCCAGACAAGACACGAAAGAGTATTTTTCTGAAAAAGGAACTCTTATTTTAAAATTTGTGTCAGATAAAGATATCACTGGACGAGGGTATAGAATTTTTGTATCACGTTCTCCATGTCAGGTATTACAACCTAAACCAGAGTTTACCACACGGTCAGTCCCCAAATGGCATACCACAAATTTTGATGTAGAATATACCACCACTAAACGACCTACTCACAACAAATGTTGCCAAACTTCTTACAACTCGAAACAGTTTACTTTGGCAAGTCCCAACTTTCCCTACAGTATGAGCAAAGCTACAGAATGTCTGTATGAAATTTATAAAGCAAATGGCAACATATGTAGGCTAAGAATTCACGTTCAATTTTTTTGGTTGGGAAGACCTAGCAGTTTAAATTGTCCAGAAGGTTTTTTCGAAATTGATGGTAAATATATTTGTGGTTGCAAACGGGATTTAAAATTGATTGTCCCCTTTGGAAATGAGGAGAGAAAAATTTTTCGATTTGTGAGTAGAGGTTACGAAAGGTCATCATACAGCGGCTTTGTCATGAATGTGATACAAGACGAGTGCCCCAAGAAATATATCCCTGAAGAGTTGCAAAAAAACGTAACCCAAGAAAATTTCAGATTTTACAATGATCAAATTAAGAGAGTTGCATCGCTTAATCAGTCTCATGATGCGGTGATTGAGAAACTGCATTTAATTAGCGAAAATACAGAAGTGATTGATGATAAACCACAAGTTATCAGACATGTGTATTTTTACGCTCCTCCTGACTTTAACCGAATTCCAAGAGACCGTGAAGAAACCGATTATATTGACACATCTAGTTCTAGCACTTCTTTTGTCCAAAATAGTTACAGTTACAACTATTGTCTCAACTGGAATCAGATGCAATTCAATACTTTACCCTTGAGGAATTTTCCTGTCTGCAAAACTGACGAAATAAGCGAAGGTAATGTTGAACCAAGAAAATGTGTGGAATTAAACCAACTTCGAGGTTACTTTAAAAGTCCCGGATATCCTTTTTACTATCCAGGAAATATGCAAATTTGTTACAGGTAGATAGCTTTATATTTATTAGCTAGTCTGTAGTACTATTTTTCAGATTTGTGAAAGAACCAGGATATTGCAGCATCAAAGTACACATGAAAGATTTTAATCTTCAAAACAGTAATGCATGCGAAAATGATTATTTACTCTTTGCAAACCAATTGAGATATTGTGGGAGTCAATTATCTAACACGATTTGTAAGCTCAAGTTTAAATGTAGCTTTAAATTGCCAATTTATTCTAGCAACTCTCGATTTGCGGAATAAACCCTATGAAGAGATGACTTTTGTTACGGATCAGTTTTACTGTGGTCGAGGTTTTTTCGGTAGCTATCAACAAATTCCATGTCAGGAAACACCTCATCCAATTAATCCGAGCACACCTTGTTCCAAAACAATTCAAGATGAAATGTTTACTCTTGATGTTTATGATTACCACGAATCTCCTTGTTCATTTCTTATAAAGAAATATAAACAGGTGAAAGTGTGTAATTTGTCAAAGAAAATATTGACAATGTTTTGTACTTTAGTATGTTTGTTCCGTGACACTTTATTTTGAGAAGTTTGATTTGGTTTGTGCATCTGAGTCATTAGTCATTGATGGGACTATGTATTGTGGACATTTGACGGGACAATCTGGTATTAATTGATGCGAAATATTGAAATTTGTTATTTTTATGCAATGTCTATTTTTGTAGTCAAGATTAGTGTAACAGATCAAGATCCTTTAATTATTTATAAGAGAACTTCACTAGCCGGTATTAATGGCCTCAGACTACGTATAAAAGGAATTCAGATATCGGAGGATTGTCCATGTAAGGACATTATTTACAATTCAATTTAAAATAATTAGGATTTGTTTTCAGATCCAGAAGTTCCCGCAGAAAGGATTTTTCATATTCCATCACCAAAAAAAATACAACTAGAAAACAATTCCAAGTTTCTTTTAAAAATCGATAAGAATTTTAGAGGTAAGAGATTATTTTTAATTAATTGTTTACTATACAGGGTGATGAAAAAAAGGCGCCCACGATTGAAACAGGCGCGTCCTTTTTTATTGAAACATTGTGACCATCATTTCAAAAATAGTCTAAATAAATTCTTTTTAAAATTTAAACAGTTTGTCTAACAGCACAAAGCGGCAATATTGCACAAATTTCTTTTACTAAAAAACTATTTCACTTAGGTATTTTTCGTATTTAGGAAACCTTTTTGACTTTAATCGTTCAAAGTTCACAGAACAAACAACATTGAAAATTGATTTTTTTGTTGCTACAGTTTCCAATAATTGAATATTACTTGGACATTTTCTGTATCCTAGGAGATATTTGCAATGTTGCAACATTGATAAATTTTCTTTGGAGCCAAGAAATGGTATCCAAACATCTTCAATAAAGTTTATTTCAATAGACTTTTTACACATTTTTTTTTAAAACACCGGCAACAGTATCAAAATCTAGACTTTAAGAATGAAATTATTTTAAAACTGTTAATTATATAGATTTTTCTTTTCTAAAAAGGAAAGTCTATATCTTACTGATAAGAGCACAAATCCAATTTTGGTCTTCGAATTCGTCTTTAATAAATGATCACTTATAACGTGTGGGTTAACACGGGCGCCTTTTTTTCATCATACTGTATAAACAGAAATCATTGTTCTACGATACTAGTTATAAATATAATGTTCTCGAATCAAAAAAGAATTTTTGTTGTAGATATTTGTGGAATAGTTACGAATACCACTGAAATTAAGCTTCCTGAAACATTCTGTGATTTCATAATGCAAAACGAAAAAAATGTTACAAATTGCCTTCCTATTAAAGTGAATTCGCTTAGTAAGTATTTATGGTTTAGGTGTCCGTTTTATATAATTGTTATTTTAGTTGTGCCAATAGAATCGCATAAACTACAACTGAAAATTCAAGATGTGGAAAAAACTGAAGAGATTGAGTTTCAGGAAGTCGACTGCGAAGAAGCTGGGCATATGGTAAAGTAAATTTAGTGGAACATTTTGTATTTTTTACTTTTTTATATAATAAATAAATGGATAACCCTAACAGAAATTTTATTAACAGTTTTTTGGAAGTGGAATTTTATTATTATGAAATATATAAACATGATTGATTTATTTTCAATTTACATTATTACGCACATTAAGAATAATTTATAATTTATATATTCACATTCATTCAAAGAAAAACATACATATAATTTACTCTAAAAACTAACAGTCTTAAGTCTGTTCAAGAAACAAATTGAAATAAATACAGACGTACAACGAACTAGTTACTTTTTGACTCAGCTTAATTCTTTTTAATTATCTTTTGGACGATAACTCCTCATAACGGTAACATTGAAAAAAAGATTTTGTCTGCTAATTGTCTCGTTTCTTAAAGGCAACTTGTGAAGTATTGCATTAAGTGATGTAAGGACTCATTGCTTATAAAAACCATATTTTCTTAGTAAAATTGCCTGATTAGATATGTCCATGAAGTATAAAATTAAAACGTTTGAGGAGTATCGAAGTAGTTGCAGGTTTGCTTTGCTGCTATTAGAATTAAACTGTTTCAGTAAAAAATATTACAACTAGTGGATGAGACGGTCAAAGCGTTTGTCAACAATCTTGTAATACTGGATATCTCGTTTTCAGTCACATTGTAAGAAACATTGAATATATTTATCCAAGAAAACGTATGTTCGTAAATACAGCAGATGCTGGTCTTCTTCTGTTGCAGAAATTTAGTACTTGGCCTCTGTTACCTTGACGAGCCTCGTGTAGCGCTACTAAAAGACGGAAGACGTCTTCTTTAGTGGGCTGACATAAATATCGGTTTTCAGCATCATATCTGTAAATAAGATATTGCTATTAGCAAGTTTTAAATGAAGCTAGCACTACTTCTTTTCTTCTTAAATAAAAAACTTTAGACTTTGACGTGACAAAAACATAATAATCATTTAATTTTATAAAGTGTGTTACTTGTATATTAGATTTTCTTCCTCCACGGTTTTTATTAAAAAAATGGATCAGCTACACTCACATAACATCCAACGTCCAAAAAGTTTTAATGAAAAAAAATGGAAGCTATGTATGTCAGGTCCATTGCAACACTTGTATGTCATATCATAGTCATGGGGAAAAAAGTTTGATTTGATACAACATTTAACACTTTTTTATAAAGTGTTTTATAATTTCTCCTTAATTTCTTCTGTTAACGAGTTAACAATTTATTTAAACTCTGTTTAGATTTATTTTTTTAACAAATTTTTGAGCGATTTTTCGGGACAGCCTCTAAAAAACAAAACATCTGCTTACCTAGAATTTTGTCTCTTCCAAGGATATTTTCTATAATATCTTGATCTTTTAAACGGGAGGTTGTTGATATGATCGACTTCCACTGTGTTACTATCAACAGGTGTTTGCTCGTGAAAATTTTCCGGGGAAGTATCTTCTACATAAAGAATTGGACTTACACCTTTAGGCCAAGGCTGGAGTAATAAATTGGCTAGAATTTTCCCTAGTTGTTCGTATTTAAAATCCTCATATTGATTTACTAGTAGTGGAGTCATTTCATCTTCTGTAAATGGAGGAAATAACATTTGGAAAGTACGAGTAAACACGAGTTTATTTTAGGGTGAGTTTACAGAACATTGCAATTAAATTTTAACTTACGATTAATTTTATGTTTAAATAAAAACAGACTTTACGTACTATATTATTGTTTAGAACGTTTTATGAACATGTTCTAATTTCCACTATTTTTTTTGTCACATGTTCAAAGGTATTGAATGAAAACTTACCAATTGTATCTTGGCTTTGATGTACGCTTTCATCAAGAAAGTTCGGGGGTAAATTGATATTATGCAGAACTCCTGTTGTTGCTATTACATATTGAATGAGAAATAAAAATATCACTTCTGCATACCATCCCATTGTAGACAAACAGACTTCCGGTTAACTGTAAATTAAATAAAAATATTTTTTTCACATGAACTGAAAGTAGTGTAACATTGAAATTATTGCTTCCTATACGGCATAAGAACAAGGCATTAATAGATACTACTAATTAAATTAATTGTTAAATATTTTCTATCTGAGATGTTAGATGTTAGATTTTTATTTAATATTGTTTTCAGTGAATTTCAGTTTATTATGTGCTTTTATCATCTACATTGCATTAACTGTTTAATAATAAAATTTATAACTATTCTTGATTACTATTTTTATGATTCATTACAAAGGATGCTTTTATTTATTAACAGTTAAGCAGAATCTAAGCTGACCACTTTAGTACATATAATATTAACAAACATTTACAACATAACTTTTAAATTTTAGGTTTTGCTGCTGATTTCATTTTTTTTTTCTAAAGGTTTTAAGTTTTATTAAAATTATTCAGAATTAATTATTAATATATTAACTTTTGAAGATCTATAACTCTTGAAAAAAAATGGTCTGAGACTTTTTGAATCACTCTGTTTATAGTATTTTTTCTGCCAAACTAAGTGTTTTTTTATGTTTTATGTTGTTTTAATTATTTGGTTTTCTGGTATTTTGGATTGGAAGTCTGAGGCGTGGTTATTTTTATTCTTATTTACTTATGCATCTATTTTTGTCAGTGACATTAACATTAGACAAATGGTAGATAGAATGCAACTGGGAGTTCTTTTGATTGGTTCACGCAACAGAGCAAACAGAAGGATAAGATTAGTTTTAACGATTTGACATTTTAGAAATGTAATAAACTTTTGTAGGGGCGGGTGGAGCCGCCAGGAGTTTAGAAATATTTATTGTTTCGACATTTTAAAAATGTGATATGTACTATGGTTTCCAAAAATTATATTATTTTAAAATTTGTTTTTTAATATCAAACGAAATGCAAAATATTTGTCAAAGCACTCTTAAGTTTTTTTTAATGGACACTTTCAAAGATAATAATTTTTAGAGGTCTATTTGAGAAGGTAGAAAGTAAGTAGAAATTAAGTAACATAGTCAAATAATAATAATAATATTTAAAATTCAGAATACTTTTTCTTATCTGTTAGGAGTATTACATTATTATTATTATGTTGAAAGTTTTTTTCTTACCTATACGACATACAGAAACGGTAATACACCTACAAATATGATATTTATGAACATTTTCCTGTTAGGAATTTTAAGGTCAATATTCATTAATTGCTATATGGACTGCATGTGACGTGACACTTTAAATTATTTTATTTATTTGTTTTTTACCTTTTCCAATATAAAATCATTGTCGAGGTGTGCTTGATTCTAAAAATGTAGTTTATTTTTAACAGAGTATTTTCTTTGGTATGAACAAATCAATCATTCTTTAAAAATGTGAGTAAGTATTAAAAAAGAAGAATTAAAAAAACTGTTGCTAAATATTTCAAATAATATTATGTGTAGACAGAAACTTGAACTATCTGAGTACATTGACACAAATCGTATCAGAGAGTCCAATAAGAGCTAACAAAACCAAAAATCCTCTATATTAAATGTGTGTATACTATTTATATACGCAACGCCCAACGCGTGTATTGAACTAACTCGGATTAAAAAGTTGGAATCTATTTCGAGAAACAATGAAATTTTCACGCTGTTTCAAGCTCTGTGGAAGGTCGATAAGGGATGTTCCAGTCAATACTATGATTAAAGATGAAATGTCTCGCACTTATTGCACACGTTTGTGGCAGACTATTAATTCAATAATTAAAATATTTTGTTATGCCTAACGACCTACACGACCTAACTCTGAATAAATAATAGGACACAATCGGCCATCAATCACCACCTGTTGGATTCTTCGTTTATGGCCTAGTTGTTTATGGTGTTAGCTTGAATAAACTGATATAAACTGAGTGTTGCAAAGTTTATTATTAATAGGTGGATAATTTCAAAAGTGATGAATTTTTTTTTCAAACGTCTCATATAAAGTAAAATAGAGTGCAAGTTGCACTCACAAACATTTAGCAGCTTTCTGTTACTAAATTCAATAAAAACGCATTCTTTCAAGATGCGGATCACAATAGAGGACAATTCATAAAGTTTTCTAGTTTACAATGAGAAAGCTTTTACATACTACGATTGTAAAGCCCAGTTATAGTAAATACCCCAAATGCCAACGGCATAAATGTTCAGTTGGAAATAAATTATGAACTCTGTTGACGTCAATTTAGACTTTAGAGAAACTGATAAAATCTATACTATGTATATTTTTTAGTGATGGTTAAGGTTTATTTTTATAAGTTGTATCAAGTTTAAAAAAGCAGAAAATGTGGTAGAATATAATGCATACTTACTTATTTGTAGACTTTGACTGGAATTTTTTCACCAGAAAAGTCCAAAAGTTAAATATTAATTCAAAACCCTTAAAATTGTGTGTGAATACTCGCATTAAATTGTAGATAAGAGTAAATAGAAAATGTACCCTTAGCGGAGGAATATAAATTTACATAACAAACTGCTTGCTCAACGTATTTTAAAGTTGTAAATTTACTGAGGTCTAGGGTTTAAAGTTACTGCAGATTTTTGAAATTACGCAAACATCATAATCAAAACTAATTGAAGGTCATAATTACATTAAAGTTTGAATTTTAATCTATTAATACTAGTAAATTAAAATTAAATTATAATTAAAATCATTCTACCTAATGTAATTTTATCGATGTTTAGTCTGATTTAAATTACAAAATAATATAAATTTTTATTTAAGAAAAACCTGTAAATTTTGTGAATAAAAGTGTGTAGGTAGTACACAAGTATAAACGATATGGAAAAAGACGTACAAATTTTCTTACAACCAATGGATAACGAATACGTGATATCCAGAAATTTTTTGTCTTATATCTTACATGTTTATTGAAAAAACAACAAAATTAAAATTTGTTTTCTTAAATTGAGAAAAGTACTGTTTATACTGCTTATATTGAAACATACTCGCATATAAGAATTTAAAAATTATATTTGTGTCACAAGTGCAAATAATATAAAAACAAAAAAATATTCTGCTTTCACTCAAATCTATATGATGTTACTTTAATTACATTTTTACAATGTTACTAGTGATACCAGTTTGAAAATACTTTTTATTCTTATTACAAAAACTACCTAATTAAAATTGCATCAGAAACATATCAAAAGCCTGAAGAAGTGTAAGTATTTCATAATACGTTTCCAAACAGAGTACGTCTTTTATTTAAGGTTAAAATAGACAAGAAAATTAATATGTATTACACCACAAATTTTAGAACAGTTAAGAAAAATTGATTTTACCAATAATAAGTACTTCTATTTCTAAACTTTACCTAAAAATGTTACAGCAAATTTCAATAAATGCTATTCATTGTTATTAAGGTTAATCACAAACTTGCTAATGTGTTTAGATAATGTTACGTATTTTCGTTATAACTAAATGCAATAATTATATTGTATTATTTTCAATAACCATGAATTCACATTTTGCAAAACTAAAAACTAATTATTTACAATATAATGTTTGTTATAGTTATTTATTTCAATTTTTATTAGTATGTAAACACATTATGTTGTGCTTGTGACTTTTATTAATTTTGTATGATTTGATTATACACTCTTTTTTATATTAAATTAGGATTTTGCTCAAGCCACTTCAAAACACATCCAAAAAAAAGATTTCTTAAAATATCTTGAGACATAATATAGAAGTTATAAATTATTGTGTTCAGACAAATTAAAAAGTTTGTCAATTAATTAAATACCTACTCTCGATAAAACCGCTTCAAAATGTAAAATGAATATTAATGATTCCAAATTCTTAAAATGCATGTACTTCAAGATTTATGATTAAAATAAAATTTTATTTATTATTATTGTTAAAACATGTACGTTTTAGTTTTTTGTTTAATGCAACAACCAGATATATTTGAAAAGTTTTATCCCATATTTATATTGTTTCTCATATTGTTTGCGCCTTAAATGAAAAAGCTTAAAAAACAAAGCTCAAAGCTAATCAAAAAAGTTTACAGTGAAAGTAAGCTATAACAAAATTGTTATGGTCTTACTTCTGTGATGCGTCAAGAAGTAAATACACTCCACTCACGTCAAGCGCTACGTTCAAAGACGCGAACAAACTTCAGCTTTTAGCACAGTTCACAGTATTATGGCAGAGTTACGCCTATATGTTGGGTCTTTTATACTTGGCCAATGCGCACTGGGGTATATTATGTGGGTGTTAGGAGAGGTGCTGCAAATGATTAAGTTCTTGTCATTCACGGAAGAATGTGCAACAAGTTATTTCCTAATTTTTGTATTATCTACTTTATTTCATCCACTTCCAGAAAAGTTACTCCATTTCAAGAAATAATCAAAGGTAGTATAGTGGGATGTGGGGCATTTTTGATTTATGGTAATGGAAACACTGCTTAATTAGATAAAGTGAGTGAGGAGACGAAATATCTTTTTTCCAAACACACTAAATCCCCAGTTTAATTAATCTCTTTGCTTATAAAAGATAGGTAATAACTTTAATGACTAGCATGTGGTTGGCGAAAAGTTAATTATGAACTTTATTTTACACTAATTTTAATTGCAAAGGTGTGGCAAAAAAATATTTTGTGAGAAAACTGGGGGCGCATCATTAGGGAAGTAAAGTAGAAATATCAATAAGAGAGCGGTAAGTTTGGCTTGAGTTAATTAAGTAGTGAATAAAAAATTTACCACAAGCCAAGTAGAAATTGTCTCATAAAAATTTCCGCCACAGTGCGTATTTAATTTTCAAATGACGTAAATCCTTTAATAAATTTCTTTGGATTTCAAACTAATTAATCCAATAGTAAACACAATTTATTTGTCACGTTTTAGCCAAAAATACAACTTCATTGTTGTGAAATTTAATAAATTATTTCCTAAACCATATTTTCATACATTTATGTAAATTAACTCAGTTATCGAACCACGTGTTAAGACAATACGACGCCTTTGATTACAACTACCACCACAATAGAAAAGGGAAACTAATTTGATTTGGTAGAAGGATTTCTGTCAAAGGTCCCTTTAGAATTAGGTCAGGATAAAAATAAAATAACGTTTCAAGACAAGTTCACATTTAATTACATTTTGGGTACAAAACAGAACAAGACGCTACATTTAATATTTTACACTTACAATAAAAAAATAATTAGTCTCCTCGATTTGAGAGAGCTTGTGAACCTTGCGAACTTCTTCTGTCGGCAGAAGCGGAAGTTTTGTCTTGCGTTACTGTTGTTGCAACCGAGAAAAGTGTGTCTTCACTTGTAGCTCGAACTGGGGCTGAGTCAGGTTCCAGAGTCTTCAAAATACCAATTATTTCGTCGGCTAAAGCATATAATTCTTCCACGGTCTGAAAGCATAAAACATTTATTTTAAAACATCAAAAATGGTTGGCTTTCTGCGAGTGGGGAAAATGAAAAATGAATATGTGACTTTACAAGAGCGTGTTTTTGTGCTTTTTCCATAATATATTCATAAGGAATATATTATTAAAGGTTCAAATTAACATTTGTCTCAATTAGAAGTGATTTGTATTCATGTGATGAGAGTAATAAACATTCATTATTTTTTGTTTAAAATTACAAAAGTAGATTTCAATTCGATGCAATCCTGATTACTCGTAAGCTCTAATTCAATCAGTTTTTAATTATGTATTATTTGTATTTGCCAATCAAACACTATTATTATTTTTGTTGTATTTTTAGAACACAAAAATGGAGTGTTAACAATTGTTTTCCCCTTTTTTTACAGTATTCTTGTCTTATGAAACTGCAAAATAATCTTTCACAACATTACTTTACATTTTGCACAAGTAATGTAAAAAACATGCTAATGCATCAAAAATGAAAAAGCCGTTTGTGTTTGATTTTAAAATTTTTTACGTATGTACAAAAACATAAATCAAATGTTGAGATATCTTTTGTAACTTAGGAAAACAGATTATAATGGCTGATCTGATCAATGTTAGAATATTAGAAGGAGTTATAAGTGTTTTGTTTGCTATTCAACATAAGTTGAAGTCGTTTTCTTATAAGTTTCAATAATACACTCTAACACAACAACTAAAAGAATCTCGCTAAATAATAGTGTTTTGTAAACGTGTTGCAAATCTGATAAAAACTCATTTTCTACACCTGTTACTATTTTAAGAATAATATTATTACAATCAACAAACAAAAAGCGTCATTCAAATTTAAAAACTTAAAACAAATAAAAAGCAACATAAAACAGTAAACGTAAAACAGCATACACATTATTATAATATGGTGTACTACTTCTACCGCATGCACATTTTTCATAATTAATGATCAATAAATACGTAAAATGCTAGACGAACTGGTCCAAAAATAAAATAAAATCTTTTATAAAAACATATTCATCCAAAGTGGAAATTAGATCTTTCGTGAATGTCAAACCACATAATTCGTATTACCTTTTAGACTAACACATTAAAATTGAAGGGCTCTTGTGCGAAATTTGATCCAACTCAATTTAAGACGAAAATGTAAATTTAGCACAAATTGATAGGTATTATTCATAAAATGTTGAACAAAAAAATTTCAAAAGAATGTTGGTCTGACTTTTATTTCAATTGTTTAAAGTTACTACATAAAGATAATAATAAATAAAATAAAAAACATTGGTACTTTTGATTTTTGCAGTTCTCAATTTCACGCTCATTTTACAATTGAAGGGATGTCATGTGCATTAATCTATATTTGGAGTTATACGCATTTTAATATAATTTGCTAGTACTTTTTTCCAATTTGTTTTTGATAAACAAAATCACATGATACAGGGTGACCCCGGGGGTGCGTGCATGCTCAAGAACTTTTTTTTATCGAAGTTATCGACATGATTTTATATATTTCTATTCATGTACAGGGTGTCCCAAGTAAGATACACAACAAAGATCTGTTTTTTTAACGAAAACCCCAATTTTTTATTACATTTCTGGATTCGCCACTAAATTGTCAATAACGCACCTTGGTATTTTAGTCTTACCTGCAATAGATTTTGACTTATGCCAATTTATGTGTCAAAATTACATCGTACATAAGGAAAATTATTTTTGCTCTTTGAAGAGTTTAAGCATGTTTTTGAGCCCAAAAATCATCTGCTTGCTTTTCCAAACGTTTTAGCAGATTTTTCAATCAAAAGCACAAAACTTTGTCAAAAATAAGCCGAAAAATCACATAATTAATTCGAAAATGATGTTATTTTTGCTTTTTTCAAACATTTACTTGCGTTTTTAAGACTAAAATAAAGTTTTTTGTTTAATTTTGCTAAAAAACATACCAAAAAATTAATACATATACCAGACTAAATAAAAAACGACATAATTTATGCTCTTTTCGAGCGTTTTAAAACATTTTTCAATAAAAAACGCAATTATTTCGCACAATTTTGTCAAAAATACGTCGGAAAGTAATTGCTTTTTTTAAACATTTATTTACTATTATTTATTTATTTAAACATATTTTAACACCTTTATCCACTGTTTATTTAACAATCCAAGTTGTACATAACGCCTTTAGCATTTGGTAATTTCATTCCTAATAGAAACCAACACTTAAAAGTTTTTTTCAATAAAAGAATATTGCAATAAAAATTGTTTTTAAAGAAAATACTAGTTTTCAAAAAAATGTTACATAACACCTTTATTCACTCACCCCTTCAATTTAAATAAGTTCACAAAAATAGTATAAAAAACGTTTCATAAAACCTGGGAGCACTCATTCTGTAAATAATTCTTGCTTCAAAACTGGTGTTTTATAAAACTTGTTTTTTAATATTATGTTATGTCATTTCAACATTTTTTATTTATTTTTTTTTCGTGTTAAATTAATGAAGTAAATTAGTAAACAGGACACCTAATTTTACGTCATATTGCCTTTTAGAAACATGCTAAAGTGTAGGAAGTCTTACTAAAATATTTTCACAAATTGTTGAGCTAATTTAAAATCACTAATTGTTTTAAAATAGTAATTTAAGATAAGGTAAACAACGTTAATTAGGAAGGGTAGGTAAAATTATAATGAAATTTTTATATTTGCTGAGGTGGTATTAACTTGTTTGTAACTATAAACTACGCAAACAACTTATTAAATATTTATGATCTTAAACTGATTCATTTTGTACAAGCTTTGCTTTCTTTCGAAAAATTGTTAATAAATTGTGGACTTTTATAAAACAGTAAGTAAATGTGTTCTTCTTAGAGATGCATATTTTTTTACTGTTCTCTACGTATATCTATTCAGAAATAACAGTGATGAAAGCAAGTAATTCAAATTAGTGTTTGTTTACTTTACTGTTTTCGCTTAAGAGCACATACTACTAAACTACATTAAATTTTTTTGTAAAGTGCAAACGTATTACTTAAGAATAATGCAACACAATAAAATTTTGAAGCATGACATTTTTTGACATTAGTATAGGAATTACTAATTTGTAAATAAAAAATATAAAAATGCAAGTTTACCTGGCAGCGTCTTAGTTGTTTTATTAGAGGACTCTCGTATTTAAGTCTATCATATTCAGCACGTGTGAACATATATGCATCTGTAACTTCTTCTTCTTCTTCTTCCTCTATACCTTCAGCTCCAATTCCACCAAAAGCAGCTTCTCCTCCAACTATTTTCTGCACTGTGTCATCAATTTCACCTTCACCTTCTTCTTCATCTTCTTCTTCCTCATTATCCGAGTCCTCGAAATCATAGAATGGGAATTCTTCAACAGGTAAGAACCGACTGACTGGATTGCAAAGTTTTTCATATGGTTTTCTGAAAATATGACCGTTTTCTATCGAGAGCCCAGAAGGTGGATCGGGTGTATCGTCAGAATAAAGATGCGTAGGAATGTGCACTTTAGGTATTTTGATCTGAAATAAAATAATGTTGGTGTGTATTGATTAGTTATTCATTTAATGAGTACTTTGGCTCGACGAGCGGCTATTAACTTCTTGCAATGTCTTTCAATCATCATGATGGGATGATCAGCCATACTTTCAGGTGCTTGATGTAAAGGAATTCTTCCACTCAATACCAAATTTTTAACTCGTTCCATTTCTTCATTCTAGAAATAATGAAAGTATGTATTAAATTCTAAAAAATTAAGTTAAGTTAAACAGAACGTGGAGAAATGCGATTTCATTAATTACATTACGGCGTTAAAGCTGACTTTAAACTTTATTTTTAAACGCTTTAACGTTTGTCGAGATGAAAAAAATTGCATTTTTTAAATATAATTTGCAAGTTGATTGAGTTCAGCGTGCAAAATGAAAAATGCGGTCCAACCACTTTTCTCGTCTGCATTTAACACTTTAACTTTCTTTAAACAGTGTTAGCTTCAACCATTAATCACATAATGCACTTGTCAAAAAAGATTATATTGAATAGACTTAAAATCGTTAAATTTCATTTGTTTAAAATATTTTGGCAGTAATGAGGAAACTTCATCAGCAAAGTGAGTTGTGTAATTAAAGCCTCCATAAAATCTCAGCTTTAAGAAAGAAACTTAACATAAAAGTATCCCTCTCGAAAATTGTAGATAAAATCTATTTGCTCATTACAAAAAATTATTGGGAATTGGTTTTATATTGTTTTTTTAACTATTCAATACAAAATTTGCATCTGGTTTGGCGAGTATATTTTACTTTTTATTTTTCCATTTTTAGATTTTATAATAAGGTTGCGGTTTAAATAAAAGATCTATAATTGGATTTATCTCAGTACAGACTTACTTCACGGACTTTTATCCTCTTGTCCATTGACTCAGCATAATCTTCTAAAATGCGTTCTTGAAGTTTTTGCATGTAATCTCTGTCTGTTAAAGAAACTAAATTGGAACCCATTAGCTTTTCCAGTCGTGACGTCACATGAGGATGACTGAATCTGAAATAAAAAAACAAATATTAAATTTAGTTATTTTTAATAAATTCTTGGGTATAATAAGTATTATTAAGTTAATAACAAACATCAGTTTAGCTATTAACAAAGGTTTAAAGTCGCATGGAAGGTGTTTAATTAGAATGTCAATCAAAATTGAGGAGTTTGTGTAAAGGATGGATTAATTAAATTGTAACTCTACACAGGTAGGTGTTGATTATTTTTCTAAAAAAAGAAAATATGATGTGTCAGTAAATTCCTTATTCCCAACGGAATTTATAGGTCAAAAGTTCAATGGCATAGCTGTTGTACTTGTTTGGGTATCAGGATAACTTATTTTAGATTTTTTGTTGAATGCAAATGTGGCTTAATTCTTAAAATTAGAGTTAATAAATGTGGTAAGTCTATAAATAACTGATAATAAAAAAAATATTGAGTGATCTATTTTGTGGGAGAAATGGTTATAATAAAGGAAAAAATATTTTCTTAGGTCCTGTTTATTGTTATACTACCTACATGTCATACATACATCGGCCATTTTTAGGCAATATTGTTTCGGGTCCAATACCTTATTATTTCTACAAAACATACTGTTTTTTTTAACTTAGTTATAAAAGTGTGACGTTTTTATTGTTACAAATTTGCCAGGCATTAAAACATTAAATTTTAAAAAAATTTGAATTTTAAAAAATTTGGAAATTTTGTTAACGATAGAATTTAAAACTTTTAACAATGTTTTGAATGCCAATCATTTTTATCCACACTTACCAGTGACAGTGACCTTGTATTTAATGAAATTTACTTTGATATTTACTAAAATGTAAAAAGCATTAATGTATTGACAAAAAATGGTGGATGCGCCGGGACCGAAAACAAATGTTAAGCATTTACTGCTTTTTTGCAGTAAAATTTTTATTTAAATTTTAATAATAAACAACGTTGATATATTTTTGAATCAATTTTTTTGTAAAATTTTAATTTATATTTATACCGATTTAGTAAATTTCCTTTTTTTATTTTTTGTATTATTCAAAGAATTAAAATAAAAATAGAACAAACCACAAAAAACTACTTATTTATTCAAAAATTGCTGATTAGTTACTAATTAGTGTTGTTGTTTTTATTTTTACAACAAAACGGAAAAAAGGTTTATTTTACAAATAAACTTTGTGATTTCCATTCCCATTTTTTATTGTTTCAAATCAAGAATAATGTTTTAAATTACGATAACAATCGTGTTTCGTGCACAAAGCTTTTAACATTTTGCACTTGTTGTCTAAGCAGCAATTGTAAATCCAAGCCGTAACAACTCCGCCAAAGTTTTTTTTTTCTTAAAAAATAATAATAATCAGTAGTACCCGACTGTCTAAGTCAACAACCTTTTCAAATTAATTTATATGTAAATTAAAATAAATAAGTTTTTATGTTCATCTTCTTTTTTTTATTATTTTGAATAAAATATCTTACACTAAAAAATTATAAACACAAAACAGTGTTTAAGTACAATTTTGTACAAGATGTTAAATTAGGGAATTAAACTAACTTCTTATTGCGCGTAAATGCTGTAATCTGGTAATTTAAAACATAAACTTGGTTGTAAAAGCGTGTTTAAAGGTGTAAAAGTCGTCGCCGTCTTAATTACTGCTGTGCGAATCTGTGGAAGTGAGACGGTTTTATTTATAAACGTGTGTGTGCAGAATGAAATATCGGTTTATTAAGATACCTGTAGCAAATTAGAAAAGCCTTCGTAGAGAGCGCAGTGACACCTCGGCCTACGCTCGAGGATCGGTGGAAAGCGACTCTCAAACCGCACAACTTTAACTTCCTTACGACACCCATTTCACACGCGCCGAAAGCAAAGACGCATTGCAGTTAAAAAATTCTGCGCGACAAAGCTTGAATTACACTCTGAATAATATGCTTATAATCCCGAAGGTATCGTCTAAATAAACTCCTCTAATTATCGCTACACAATACACCGGCGAATGAAATAGGACTATACAGAGTGCGCCAGAACTCGCGCCCTAGAGAAAAATTTCAAGTACGATAAGAACATGAAAAAAATGTTTTAAAAATGCTATCTGTCAAAAAAATTTGTTTAATGACACTGATGATATTTTATATGTTTTTTATAATTATTTAGTAAAAGTAAAAAAATTTGCCAGTAAAAGCCACAAAAACCATTAAACAGAGTTACAATTTACTGGTATGATAGAGCTTCCTTGTATCCTCTTCTAATAGCCTGTAGCAAAAAAACTTGGAAAATTATTTTTCCAACAGAAATAAATAGAGTCAAAGTGCAAAATTTAAACTCTCATAACTTCTAAATTTTTATAGATAGAATTTTTTTAACATTTTTTCTATGTTCCTGGTATCTTACCTTACATGGGATTTGTCTCTGGGGTGCCAGTTCTGACGCAACCTGTATAACTACAGTGCGAAAAAGTCTTTCTATCAAGTAGGCGTATGTTGCATGGCAGTTCGTATGTTATCTAGATGTCAAAAAATTATTTTATAAAAATTAAAACATTGAGCTAATTAAATTGACATACGTTTTAAATTTCTACGCTTGCTTGATAGACAGACTTTTTGATTGCACTGTATAAGGAAAGATACTTTGTATTAAGTACGAGAAGTAAGTGTTTTATAGAACAAGCAAATATTTTTTTAAGACTATAGCAGAATGCGGTTTTGCCCAAAAAATTTTCTCTCAAAAATAAACTTAAAAATGTGTTACTAATTTTTTTATACAGGGTATCCCAGCGAGTTGAAAAAGTCTATTAGTTACCTTTAAACGGTAAAATTAAAAAAATATATAGGACATTGATAGATACTAATCTAGTGCATCGCCTAAAATTATTTTCAACTATACAGCGTGTCTCGAAAATAAGTTACAATACAAACTTGTGTTCTTTTAAATAAAACACCATATGCTTCTTAGCGTTTTTACATGTAGATTTTTATGACAACGTTTTTAAGCTAAACTTTTATTGGTCGATTTTGCTTAGTTTTAAAAATAAGACGGTTTTTTGACAAAAACATGGACATTTATAAATTTATTACACAAAAACTAAAGCATCTAAAAATATTTTTTTTACTACCGCAAAGAAGAATGTATAAGCTATAAGGTTGTCACAATTTTTTTAGTGTGTTGCATTTGTAAAGATAAAAAAAATTAAGGCGTTTGTTAAAAGTTCAATAACTTAAAAAATTTAAATGGAACATCTTATTTTATGTTTTTGCATTTAAACGATTATTAAATTGTCTTTCTAAAATTATTTACTTTTAGATGTTTATAATCAATAACTAAAAATTCTGTACTTTCTTCCTTACAGAAATAAGAAAAAAATTTGTTCTATTTGTTTTAGTTTTTGTGTAATAAATTTTTTAAAAGTGCATGTTTTCGTTAGAAAAACGTCTTATTTCTAAAACTAAGCAAAATCGACTAATAAAAGTTTGGCGTAAAAACATTGTTTTAAAAGGCTACATCCAAAAATGTAAAGTAACATACAGTGTAACGTATTTTTGGGACATACTGTATGGTTGAAAATAATTTTAGGTGATGCACTAGATCTATACATTTTTTTAAAATTCTACCATTTAAAGGCCACTAATGGACTTTTTCAACTCGCTTGGACATTCTGTATACATTTAGGTTCTAAACATTTTTAACAAAATGTGATTCATTGAGCTCGCAACTACAATAATTACAAGTAGCTTTCAGCTATGGCAAAATGAAATGCAAAATTGAACTCAAAGCAAGTTCTACTAAGGCAAGCTGCTGTAAGCGATAATTATTAAACTAAAATGTTTTCTATATGTAATTATTAATATGCCTAAGATACGCGTCAAGTGATAGGCAAAGAAAAACAATAATTGACCGTTTTCGAGCTTTTTTTACAATAACTTCCGATATCCAAGCTGGAAAATTTGTTCCAGTTAAAATTTCCACCCTGTATATTGCGACTACATTTTATAAGCTTGGATTAAAAAAAAATTGTATAAAATAAAAGTATCTGTTTCAACTGGATCTTTAAAATTTTAACGCATTATTAATGTAATTTATTTTATATTTATATTGTACTGTATTATAAAAAAAATCTTTTATTAGGCAAAAAAAAACTTCAAAGAATTGTTTTACCAAACGAAGTGAAACTGTAAGTGACATCGCTGAGTAACATTTAATACAAAAAGTTTTAACTTTGGTACAAAAGTATTCAGAAATGTTAAAAAAGAGAAATGTAGCATATGTACATATTATTTAAATACAAAATGTCTATAAAAGAACGTTTATAAAGAGTGTGGTGACATTGAGGTTCTTTTAGATATTTTAAGAAAAAAAAAAAATAAACAACCCCTGAAAGCGTTGTGATAGATTGTGACTAAATCAACATTAGTTGAGAAACAAAACATAGCTTTTTAATTCATACTTTTAAAACAATAAGATGTAATACACTTTTTAACAACCAAATTTTTTTGGTCAATATGAAGGAGAGTTTTAAAATGCCGGATATAAATAAATCAGCCTCTATTTCTCCTCCTGTGACGCACAGCTAATTCATTATCCGATCTGAAAATAATTGAAATACGTGCTTTGCATTACAGAATAGTCAAATAAAATGTTTTTCAATAAAGCAACATTTCACTTTAAAGTTATTTCTAAATATCAATAATACCTATAAATGTTTCTTTATCAGTATAATGTTGATAAAATTACAATGTTTCTGTTCAAATTGTGTTTATTTTACATTTGAAACACAACTTTTATAAAACTTTACGTAAAATACATTTTAAAAATGTTTTAAACCTAGAAATTAGTGTGCATTTTTGAAGCAGCAGATACTAAATATTGGGAACGACTCAGATATACTGTACTCAGAGTAAATGATGCGAGTTACAAAAAACTTTTTAAATTTTTTTGTTTTGTTTTGAATTAGAAATGACAAAAAAAGTAGAATATTTATTAGAAGTACTCTCTGATTTGATAACGAAATTTAATGAATTAT